AGAGGATCTTCTTGACTGAGGCATGAACTACTTACACTGAACAAAAAATTTAGAGAAATAAGCTTTTAGGTAGTTGTTGAGGCCCAAAAAAATCCATGGATTGGGCCCCAGTAATTATCAGCCCAATACGGCACTCCAGTAGGAAAAAGCGTAAAAGGAGGTATATGAAGACTCTCCACGTGCGAGTTATAATTCGCGTGCTATGCTAAATAAATTTGCCATGTTAGGGGTGGAGATAAAATATGCCGGCTCTACAAGCCCATGCAAAAAATTAAACATCGCAGTCCTGCCCAAGGATGATAAACTAAAATATGCCAAACGACATGCCATGCCAAGCACGAAAGTGTTATCTCACACCCAACTACGCTACAAGCCTAAGTGGGCCCAATCCACTCAAATGCCCGAGGCTTGCTTGAGTGGGTTGTGGTATGGATGGTAATAAATCAACATGAGGCCCATTGATGGGCCGAGAAATGGAAGGTCTCGGGTTGCTTGGGAGCCTTGAGAATCAGGCCCATTTCTTAGGCCCAAATATGTGGGTAAGCACAAGAAAGAAAAGTAGCCCAAAAGCCCAAGCAAAATAGCCTATTAAAGCAACCTAAAAGCCCAATGTTTAACAAAAAAATAGCCCACTTGCTTAAGGGACCCCCTTGGTCCATACAAAATTACAAGATAATCCATAAAAGCCTCAGCCCTTTGCTGGAAAAATGGAAGTCACGTGAAAAGGGTCAGCAAGTTTATTGAATAGAGCTGCTGGGAGGTTTCAACACAAAGAGGGAGCAAGTTTCAAAGCTAAAACATGCAAGGAACCAAGGGGTATTAGCGTGAAACACTCTTCAAACCAGCATACATATCCCAGCTCCTTTTCCCATCAGACTTAGCCATAGAAAAAAGGGAAGAAAGCAATAAAAAGAATGGATGGAAATGGAAATTTACCATTGAGGTAGCTGCAGGAAAAAGGGGCATTGAGCTTCAAAACTATGATCTGATAAACAGAGAGGATTTCATCAAAATGGGAAAAAGCCAAGGAAACAGATGAAAAAGGAGGGAAAGGCTTGGCCAAAATGGGTATAAGCCATTAGGGTTTCTTGAAAAATGGTGGTTTCTAGCGGCTATAAATTGAGGCTTCTCCTACCCAACAACTCCAACCTAGCTTCAGGGAGCAAGCTTTCTCTCTAACTTACAAAAACCAGCAAGTCTCGTGCACTGTTCATCTTCTTCCCCATTCTTCTCTTCTGGCAGACAGAGCATCTGTCAAGCTACCGGAAGAACTCTGTTCTCCATTTTAGCCAAATCTCTCACGAAACTCCTCCTTCCTCTCCCTAACACTTTCTTTTCTCTCAAAGCAAGCCTAAATTTTCTCTCAGTGCTAAACTCATGTTAATTTTGCCTTCCATGCCACATACCATTCACGCTGAGCTTAAGAGTTTATCTGTAAGCACAAAGAAACTACCTGTAAGCTATTATTATTTTGGTTGATGAAGGTAACCATAATACTTCCTAAGGATCTACTGCCCTTTCAAAGTATTTTTGGGGCTTAATTTTCGAACTCAGGCAAAGGGGACAATTTCGTCAGTCTACTCTTTACGGCAGCCTGGCCCATCTTAGCTGCCAGAAGAAAAAGTCCCCTATAGTAGTCATTACCAGTTTTGCAAAGGACAAGTTCTATAAAAGGATTCTTATTTGTTTTATTTATTTTTTAAAGAACCTCGACATGAGTGCTGCTAACCGAACCTTAAAATTAACTGAGTACACCCTATAATTTAAGTACACTACAAGGAGCACTCTACTACTAAGTACACTACATGAGTCAGATCTCTACAATTTATAATTTATATGAGAGCTGCTATAATATTTATATTTTGCTATCATTTAGCAGCACTCTACAATTTCTTCAACGAGAAAAAAGAGAGGAACATCTGGCCAAGGGAAATGAGCCCAATCCCTCTTTGCAAGCCAAACCCTAATCCCAGTTGAGTCAGATCTTGTGGGTTTATTATCTTAAAGAGCAAAGGATATGCTGAATTAAGGAAATCCAAGATCCTCGGTTGGAACTGGTTGTCTTGAATATCATGAATAGCCTTCAATCAGACCGTTCTTTCTTGCAGGATTTGAAGGCCCACATACCTGCTCAAAACACAAAAATTTAAAGGATTAATTAAAAATAGCAATGGGACACGGAGTTTGTGAGAGCAAATATTTTGGCAATCAATCATGAGATGCCACGTGGACAACAAGGATTAGGTCAATAATTGTGCTCTATTTAATGGGCCAATTAGACCAAAAATAGATATATCATCATCAATTAGGGATTTGATTCTGATTAAAATCCCTAATTGACTCTCTATTTAAGGGAAAGAATAATTCTGTTCTATATAGGAATTATTCTTTGAAAAACCCTAGAAAGCAAGAGCACTATATAAATACATGCCTACATCATACCTCCAAGGTAATTCGGAAAACCCTAGCTAATTGTTGTTCGAATTTCCTCTCTCTCTCTCTCTCTCTCTCTCTCTCTCTCTCTCTCTCTCTCGTCATTCTCTCTCTTCCTCACACGGTCACGCGTCACCACACACGGCCACGCGCCACCACACATGGCCATGGCCGCTCGGCTTTCCCCATGAGAGAAAACTTCATCATTTATGTTACTTGTCATATCTTTCTCAAGATCCAATTAACTAAGGGCTAGTTTGGCATTGCTGTGCTTTTAAAAAAAACTGCTTCTGCTGTGCTGCGAGAATAATCAGCTGTGAAAAAAATCAGTTAGGCGTTTGGTAAACTATATTTGAAAAGCAGCTTTTAAAAGCTGGGTAGATACGGCTTCGAAAAAACAGCGATCATTGACCGCGATTTTTAAAAAAAGCAGGATTCCTGATGTTTACCAAACACCCAACTCATGACAAATTTTTATTAAAGCTGCTTTTTTTAAAAATTAAGCGCTGCCAAACGCCACCTAAGGCATTGGATGGCCTTTGGCCTACACTCACAGATATGGTCTATTTACTCCTAGGGATCGAGGAAGAGGCAAGAGTAGGAAGTTCGAGGGTCAAGGATCTACATGCGAATATTCCCCGAGCAGAATTTTGCCCAAACATTGTACGTTACAAAGAAAACCATATTCAACGAAATAATTATTGAGAATCTCTAGTGGTTGGAAGTGTGCCTCACATACCTGCCTAACATCAGATAGAAGCCCTGAGGATGGCTGTTTGGTTCGTAAGGGAAAGTGGAGGCATCAACAACGCGTAATGCTTTGATCCCCATAACACGGAAACTATCATCAAGCACTTTCCCAACAAGGCTTCCACCGTGGTAATGCCAGTATGAAGCTACATTATCTAGGCAAAATGTTTCGAAGGATGCGTCATCTGTTTGGTTCTCTGGTAAAGGTACTCCCAAATAATTGAAACCGTCAATTCCCAGCACATCTCGAGCTTTATATGGTTCTAATGCCTTTGTCCTTAATAAGTCACCAAGCTTCTTCATGCCGCTAACGCAATTAGCAAGGTCCGTGGAATTTGAAAAGTAATTGAATTTAATATTCGGAGCGATTCTCACGTCAGATGATGAATTTAGGGTGAGAGAACCATAAGACAAAGGTCCTGGAACTTGGCTAACAATATGAGCGAAAGTCGAATTTGGGAGGGGGTAAGATGTAGGAAAAAGACTAAAGGGTGGAGTGGAAAATGGCAAGCTTGACAGAGAAACTTGATAATAATCACTTCTAATGCCTAAAACAGTTACAACAGAGGCTTCAATTGGATTTGGGGGCAAAATATTAAAGAAATTACGAGGATTGTCATACACAAACTGCCCAACGTAAGGATTCGGCTGCACAACCGTGATGTTGAGAGAAGATAGGTAAGACTCTGGTCCAACGCCACTAAGTAGTAGAACCTGAGGCGTTCCGATTGTCCCTGCACTAACAATAACTTCTCCGTTACCGCGTACAAATGCCTGATGAGAGTTTCCATCAGAATCCGTATATATGACTCCAATGGCTGACAAATCTGCATTAGAGAATAGCTTATAATTATTGTCAAACTAAACGAAGGAGAATTGGGAAGTTTTATTTATGGAAATTTGGGAAATATGAGACTTCACACTATTCTGTTAGTATTTTAGAATAATAAAATAATAATTTTCGAGTGCAGCATGACAAACTAGGAGCTACCATTAAATATCAGAGATGCAACATACTTGATGTATTGGAAGAGAAGAGGATCTTCTCTACTGAGGCCTGAACTGCAACTAGCAAGTTGTTAGGGTCTCCTTTATTAAGCAGTTCATCAGCTGCATGTCGCGTTCCATTATTGTCAAAAGTTGAGCCGGTGAGTCTAGTTCCTGCTTCGTGATCCAAACTAAATCCATTGTCTGGAAGAATACCAGCCTCCAAGAATCCCTCTCCTATAACAGATTGCCAAGATTGATTATTTGGCTTGACCACAATGGCGTCTTCAACCCACTCATATGTCTTATTGACCAAATCCAGGTCCCATTCAATTCCTGTTTGACTATAGAATGAAATGTTAGCTCTGGCGTAGACGCCGGCATTGATTATGGTCGTGCCACCGAGGATCCTGCCTCGCACATTATCAATGCCATCTTCGGACACGAACCTTTCGACTGGCGTCTTTCCATCATCTTGTTGCTGCAGATTATATGCAAACCCATCTGCAGTCAACGTGTTCGGGTATTCTGTAGCAATAGTGCCTCTTTCTAGAAGAAGCACCTTGTATTTTTCTGATAAAGTTGCTGCCAATGGACACCCTGATGTTCCTCCACCGACTACAATGTAGTCATATGATCCTTCCAAGCTTGTATAAGTGGCGTTGTACACAAACTTCAAGTAGCTAAAATCTGCAAAATATATGTGAAGAGATGAAAGATTTTTTTCAACATGCTTCTAAATTAGCTTGTTTCTTGCACTACATGTTTCAGTTTTCTTAATTATAAATCTGCACTTTTTTGTTAAATGAATACTGAAGATGGAAATTTACCATGAGCAGAAGTATTGGCAAGCGAGTGAACCTCTGAATACTGAAGATGAAGAACAAGAAGATGCAACACAAATTGTATAACTGACATTGTTGATTTCTCCATGTCTTTGAATATTAAAAGCACTTGCAAAGTTTCAGAAGTTATAGAGAGGGTAGGACTTAGAAAAAATGAATTAAATGAAAAGTTGCAATTAATTGTCACGTTTTCCACAATCACAAGATTAGCAGAAGTCGCTTGTACGAATCAGAAGCACACAGCTGTGTGGACAAAATTTTCCCAACGGATTTTCTTCAATGATTTCGTAATGGCACTCCAAAATTATGTAATCTCTCTCGTGGACGTCATTCAAATGTGCCCACACTTGTCTCTCGTCAAGGACATATACAAATAAGTGGCTGAAATCATTTCCCTCTCCCCTCTAATTTAGACTATCGCTTATACTACATTTTTTTTTAAAAAATTTCAATATCAATTTACCAACAACTTGGTAATTTGCAACGAGGGAATAACCCAACACCTTATAAGCCCTTGCAAGGTTTTCTAATTTTTCAATGTGGAACATTTTTTCCATGTCTTTATTGAAAGCACTTGCACAGTTTCAGAATGAATCAGAAGGACACAGCTGTGAGGACAGAATTTTCCGAACGGATCGAACTTCCATTCTTCAATGATTTCGAAAAGTTATGTAATCTCTCGTCTCATTTCTCTCTTGTCATAGCTGTGTATTACAAGGAACAGTGTTAGTGTAATGTATACAAAATAAGTGGCTGAAATCATTCCCCGACAGAATGATCACGGGGCTTCTTAAAAGCCACATATCTCATCTAACTTTGATCTAAAAAGTCAACAGATCTATTATCTACATATACAAGTTGGAAGACTTTTGCGCATGCCATAACTAATATAGGTGCAATAGTAGTGCTAGCATGCTTCCATCTGCAAAGCATTAACTTTCAATCAGAAGCTTAGCATCAGATAATGAGAAGAGAGAAATTAGTACAAATTCTCAGAGAAAATATTGCCAATTATTGTATCCTAAAGTAAATACAATTCCACCCTCATATTCTGCGGTTCTCTTATATTTAATTTATTTTACAACATTAAAAAATAAAATAAGAAGTTGGTTATGAAATAAGACATTAGGACAAATAATTTTATTTTTAAATTTATGAAAATAAAAATTAAAAAACTAAGAGGAGAGACAATTAATTTGTTCCAACTAATTTATTTAAAATGAAATAAAAGCGTACATTTAGCCAGGGGGGTAGAATGAGCTTAACACCACCCTAATCCCAATGGGTTATTAATTAATTTTAAGAAGCAAAGGATAATGTTGAATTAAGGAAATTCAAGATCTTCGGTTGGAACTTGGAATCTTGAATTATGAATAGCCTCCCTTCAAACTCATCTTCCTGACACAATTTGAAGGCCCAAATACCCGCCCAAAACACAAAAATTTAGAAGATTAAAAAAGAACAATATGGCAGAGTTCATTCCAAGAAAGCCATTCAACAAATAATTATTGAGAATTTTTAGTGGTTGCAAGTGCGTATCACAAACCTGCCTAACATCAGATAGAAGCCCTGAGGATGGCTTGCTGATGTGGTAGAGAATGGGGAGGCATCAACAACGCGTAATGCTTTGATCCCTTTAACACGGAAACTACCATCAAGCACCTTCCCGACAAGGCTTCCACCGTGGTAATGCCAATGTGAGCCTTTCGACTCTAGGCAAAATCTTTCGAATGCTGTATTATCTGTTTGGTTATTTGGTAAAGGTTTTCCCAAATACTTGAAACCTTCAACACCCGGCAAATTTTGAACTTTATATGGTTTTAATGCACTTGTCCTTAACCACTCACCAATCTTCTTCATGCCGCGAACACAATTAGCAAGGTCTGTGGGATTAGAATAGCAGTTTAATCTAACACTTGAAGCGACTCCTGCGTCAGAGGATGAGAGTGAGAGAACCATGAGACAAAGGTCTTGGAACTTGGCTAGCAATGTGAGCGAAAGTCGAATTTGGAAGGGGTAATTTGGAGTAGGAAAAAAACTAAAAGAGTGGAGTAGAAAATGGCAAGCTCGAGAGAGAAGATTGGTAGAAATTGCGTGTAAGGCCTAAAACAGTTATAATTGAGGGTTGAATTTGTTAAGATAGGAAGACTGAAAAGAAATAGAGTAGAGAGAAGAGAAATAAAGCAGAGAGAATTTCAGAGATAGAGAAGAGACTTGTTGTATTTCTGATTTTTTTTAACCTCAATTGAGCACAATTACAGTCTCTATATCAGCTGAGTTAAAGACTTGTTCACGTGTTTCTAACCTCTCTAACTTCTCTAACCTTCTCTTATCAACACTAATAGTTTTCCTAAACTACCTCACAAGACTAACAATATCTCAACAACTTTATCTTTTGACACGTGGCAGCACTAGGACCATTGATATCTTTACATCCCCCCCTCAATCGCATGCTTGGAGGAGCCAAGCATAAGATTGGAAACAATGTTGCTGGAACAGAGAGGAGTAGAAACACCCTTAGTGAGAATGTCAGCAAACTGGTCTGTAGAAGATACATGTTGAACAAGCAAATCACCTTGGATAACTTGCTCTCTGACAAAGTGGCAATCTATTTCCAGATGCTTCATTCTTGAATGGAATACTAGATTAGAAGAAAGAGAAATAGCAGATATATTGTCACAATGACTTAACAGAGGAATATGTAAAGGCACATGAAGATCATAGAATAATTGTCTAATCCAGGCAAGCTCAGCAGTGGCAATAGCAAGGACCTTATATTTTGCCTCAATGGGTGAACAAGAGACGATATGTTGTTTCTTAGAAGCCCAAGAAATAGGACTAGAGCCTAAGTAAACTATAAACCCCGAGATAGACCGTCAATCATTAGGATTCCCAGCCTAGTTAGCATCACTGTAAGCCTTTAGATTAAGAAGACCAGGTTGAAAATGAATTCCAAAATCAATGGTGCCTTTCGAATACATCAAGATTCTCTTAACCGCCACAACATGAGATTCCATGGGATTAGCATGAATTGACAAGCTTGATTCACTGAGAAGGCAATGTCTGGCCTTGTGAAGGTAAGGTACTGCAGAACTTCAACAATGCTCCTGTATTGTGCTGGATGAGAATAAGGCTTCCCATCATCTTTAAGTAATCTGTGATAGGGAAGACAAGGAGTGGCACATGGTTTTGAATCTCACAAATCAACTTTATCAAGTAATTCTTTGATATATTTAGTCTGAGACACAAATAAACCAGTGGACTGATATGAAATTTGCAGCCCTAGAAAATAATTCAGCTAGCCTAAGTCCTTCATATCAAATTTTTGGATGAAAGCTGCAATAACATATGTAATAAGAAAGGAATCACTGCTTGTAAGGATGATATCATCAACATATAGGAATAAGACCACAATGCCAAGAGAAGAATGTTGCACAGAACAGAGAGGGATTCTGCGGTTGAAAACCCCCAAAATTAAAAAAAAAAAAAAAAAAAATCTTTCATTCCAGGCACGAGGAGCCTATTTTTAACCATACAAAGACTTCCTTAGTCTGCAAACAAATTCAGAGGGATGATGCTTGCTCTCAAAGCATTTTTTACATCGAGTTGTCGTAAGGACCAGTTGAACTGAGCTGCAAGAGCAAGGACTAATTGAATAGTGGTTGGTTTTACTACAGTGCTGAAGATTTTACTATAGTCGATACCTTCATCTTGACTAAATCCCTTAGCAACCAAACAATTCTTATGCCAAGCGATAGAACCATCTGCATGTTTCTTGATTCTATATGCCCTCTAACAACTGACAAGATTCTTATGAGCTGGGAGAGGAACCAAATCCCAAGTACCTAAGCATGAAGAGCCTAAATTTCCTCCCTCATTGCAAACTGCCATTCTGAAACTGTAGAAGCAGCCTTGAAAGAACTAGGTTCAATCTGAGATAAATCAATAGACTGTACATAAGCAAAATAAACCTTTCTTTTGGAAATACCACTCTTGGACCTGGTTGTCATAGGGTGAAGATTCATGGCTGGAAGTGGTAATACAACACGAAGATTCTCAGGCTAAAAATCAGGATCCATAGGGAGAGGAGACTATGTAGTAGATGCTGAAACTGGCAGATTTTGGGAAGAGGAAATCAAACATTTTGAAGCACTAGGAGGTAGTTCAAAGAGTTTGTGGGCCTAGAGGTTGTGGGAGAGGGAGAGGGAACATGGAGATGAGATACAGGTGACAAAACAATGTTATGCAATGAAATATATGGTGGAAGAAGAGAAGTAGATGGAGACTAAGATGGAGAAACATGCACTTGATTAACAGATGTGTAAGTAAACATAGTTTCACCAAATATGACATGTCTAGTCACAAAAAACTTATTTGTTTGGGGTACAAAATTGATACACCCCTTATATTGACCCGCATAGCCTAGAAAAACACAAGTAGAAGTTTTGGGCTAAAGTTTGTGAGAATTGGAGTGCTTGAGCAGAGGAAAACAAGCACAACCAAATATCTTCAAGTGAGTAATGACTGGTTTGGAACCAAACAATAAAATATAAGGAGATTTAAAATGAAGAATTTGACAGGGCATTTGATTGATCAAGTAGGTTGAAGTAGCACAAGCATGAAACCAAAATTTGGGAGGTAAATGTGCAGTTTGTAACAAAGTGATTGTAGTCTCTAAAATGTGTCTATGTTTTCTTTCGGCATGACCATTTTGCTCAGGTGTATACGGGCAGGATTTTTGATGAACTATACCCTTGGAGAGAAGATAAAGTTTGAATTTAGTACTAAGGTACTCACCACCCCCATCACTTTGAAATTTTTTAAGAGTAGCAGAGAAATATTATAGTTCCATATTAGCCAGAAATATTGTGGTCCATATATATGCACCGGACTAAAGAAACGAAACAGCAAAAAGAAAAAGAAAAATGGCTGGGCATGGAACAAATCTCGCATTGACAGCGCAAATGAAATGTGCAAGTTGAAGGGAAACTGCTATTTAAAGCAGTTGGTGGTGTCGTGTGGCCACTTCCTCATTAAATCAAAGCTGGCAACTTATGTTTGTCCTGTAATTTTCACTTTTGTGCTCGAGTGTGGCGACATACCCCTCCCACCTTTTTTTAACCCCCTCATGCACGTAGGATTGTTCTGAATGACATCAAGAATACACTACCTAGGGGTTGTTTAAAAACCGTTTAATTTTTAGTTTCAAGTTTTCATTTGCACTTTTTTTATAAAAAAAAAATTGAAAACTGAAGACATGTTTAGTAACATAATTCGTTTTATACTTTCAAAATCACCCGTATATTTTAGGGCTTGTCCAATATAGATCCCTACATTTTCTATTTCCTAGACATATACCCATCACTCTATAAATCTATGTGTAAAACCCAATTTCAAATTTAAATGACTAGTAGGATATAAGAGGTCGTAGTATTTCTATATTTTTACATCATTGCCACCAAACTTCATATTTTATTTATAATTTATTTCAAGCATTTCATTAACTGCCATAATTGTAATTAATATACTCCCTATTAATAGCATATCAATCACCCCATTTCTTTTAGTTGTCATTCCCTCTCACATCTCCCCCCTAAAATAAAAAAAAAAAAAAAAAAAAAAAAAAAAAAAAAAAAAAAAAAAAATCTGTAAATTACATATCCAATAATGTACCTATGAAAAATATAATATAAATATATACATATAAAATATAGGTATATTATTTACCAAAAAAAAAAACAAAGTCAGTTACTTTGTAATTGCGTATATTTTTCATAATTAAAAATAGGTACACAATAATTTATATAAAATATAGGTACATTATTTACCCACAGGTAAATTATTTTACAATATACCTATAAATGTGTATAGGTACATTATTTGGAATAGATAATTATGTACACTTTTCATACTAGGTAAATTATGTTTTCCATCAAACAAACAAGTAATAGGTACATTATTTTTTCAACATAATTAGTATGTACAGTTTTATTCATAAACAATTATAAAGTGGATTATTAGTCATGTATAATTCATAAAAAGAAAATAACATAAACATTTTATTAAACAAACCGATTACCTAAATTTGAATTTATTGTTAAATTTTTTAAAAAATGTTTCAAAATTAATTCCTACATCCATTACAACCATTTGGAGATCTTTCCAAATTCAACATTTGTCATTATATACAATCCAATTAAAAATTGTTTCCATATTGATTCCTACATTAATATACAAAATGCAATAATGGCTTAGTTGTGGGTATTTTTGGAATCTGAAAAGTACAATAAATCAGATTTTATGCTTAATTAGGTAACTTGCTGAGTTGGATCCTAGTCATGGGTTTTTACTTATACAAATTGGGTATTATTTATAGGAACAAAAAGTGAAGGGTTTTAGGTACGGCAAATTGAATTTGAAAGGTGTAAGCCAAATTTACTATATATTTTAAAACAACTTGATACTGCCTCATTTCCACCTCGAACAATTTTAAAAATTTCCCGACTCTTTGTTCTTAAGAATGTTGGTTCTAAGAATGAGTGATTTCTCTTCTCCGATCATTTTGCCCAACCTGAAAGCACACAACTAATGCAGTACACTTATTGAACAAGGTTCTATGGTCGATCCACAACCCTTAGATGCCAAAGAGTCCTTGGGGTGATCTCATAGTTCCTACAGGTTGGAGACGATGGGTCGGTCCATGAATTTTCCTTCCTTTCTCTGCGTTTCGCTCAAAGGGTTGAAGGGAGATAGTGCATCAAACTATTCACAAGGGCCAACTTGATCCTCTACCCTAGGGATCGTAGATGATGGAACCCTAGGAGGTAGGATAGGCAGTTGGTAAAATCTAGGAGGTGCTTCTCCTAAGCATCACTTAAAATCACTAACAGTTATTATAGGGAGAAGTGATTTTCCATAAAAAGTGATTTTGGCCTATCCGGAATCACTCCCAAACTAGCCATAGTCTGTCTTAAAATTGATTCATGGTATGGGCCCCATTTTCTTTAAAAATATTAAAAACTAATATGGTATTTTACATTTTGGGTGGAATTAACAAATTTACAAGGTTTCAAATTGCCACGTAGGCTATCAAATCCAAATTAACATTTTGCATTTTACTTCTTCCTTGGAGATGTACTTATAGCTAGGAAATGAATGGCTAATATGTACTTGTCCATATTATCCAACAGCCACCAAAAAAAAAATTATATTTAAAAAGAGTTCCAATCATACATGTTCATAAAGAAAAACATGTTCACAAAAAATGAACATAAAAAATTCCAATTCTATGAGGGGAAATTTTATGTTGTCGAAATGTTTATAGAACAAGTTAAGATAATATTTAACAAATTTAACTCAAGAAAGTTAGCACAAAATTAAAATTATTATAGTCTCTAAAATGGGTCTCTAAAAGTGGTGGATTCGGAATTATGGTATTACTGTGGTTGTATCTTTGGCGTAGGTTCCGAGCTGGTGAACGCTTTGGACTGAGCTCTTGCAGTTCTCTTTCATTACTCTCCATCTTGTCTGATTTATGGCCTGGTCTTGTGAAATGAGAATATTATTATTACCTAACGATATTCTATTTTTATCTAATCTAAATTATAGGAAGGGGGATTTGAATTTGAGTGCAGAATAGAGAGCACATTCGCTCTAGCAAACTTGAATAAGCCCATATCTACATTATTAGCTCTTATAACTTCCTTGTTTTCATGGGCACTAATTATCGGAAGTTAATGAAGTTGCATATATTGTTTAGCCAACTTTGCTCACTCTTGTACTCTCTGTGCAGCTAAGCGGTATCCACAGAATCTCTAGGGGTTACCTACGTGTATAGGTTCAAATTCAATTGAGAATATTTTCCTTCAAAAAAATTACCATTTTTCTTTTTTCTTTTTCGTTCAAGAACCAATAAATAACAATGAAAACCTCAATTGAATTACAAAAACTGTGGCTTTATAATTTTGGGTGGGGTTAAAATCTATATATATAAAGCAAAAGGCAGAGAATGGTGAAACATTCAAAATACAAGAAAATGCCCTTAGTTAATTCAAACATTAAGAATTGAAATTATTAATTAAATGACGATAATATGGTAAATTCATATTTTTTTCATATTAAAAAAAATTAAAATTAAAAACAAAATCAGATAATAGGTCATACTTTTATGAAACATAACTACCCATGTTATCTTCTCTGAATTCTAAAAATAAAATAAAAAAGTAAAAAGAAAACCAATTGGCACATGCGTTGCATGAGCATGTGCGAAGAGGCTAGTATTATATGAAAAAAAAAATTACTAAATTGGTCCAAGCCGCCTGAGGTCAATTTGGTCATCGGATCAGGCCCTAACCATGCATATCTAAACGACATTTGCCAAACTTTATCTGTAGCTTGTGTGTGTACTCTAGTAATTAATTAGATAACTCAAATGATACAAGTAAATATAACTCTTTATAAAGATGAAATTATTGATAAGACTGTTAGAGTTAACAGTTTATTATTAAGATCTTTTAGTTAATCAGTCTGTTAATAAGTCCTATCCTTTAGGGACTAGTTTGTGTTTTTAACAAATTCCTATTAGCCTATTACCACGTTTTAGGGTGTTGCAAACGTGGGCTGTTATTTTGATTTTATCTCTGTATAAAAGGCTTTATAAGCCTGCTGTTTGTTATCAATGAGAATAAGAACTTTTCATTCAAGGTTGTGTGCTATAGTTTCTTCTGAGTGTTCTCAACAATTGGTATCAGAGCTCCCTCACAGGGGCCCTGATTGTGAGTGTGTGTGGAAAGAAACAGCAGTTTTCTTTCAGAGTAAGGGAGTCAAGTAGAATGGTGGAGAGCAATAGCAGTGGTTTTGTGCAGCCGGCCATTCCCAAATTTGACGTACATTACTATCATTGGGCAATGTTGTTGGAGAAATTTCTCCGTTACAAGGAATATTGGGATCTCGTAGAGAATGGGATTTCGGTGGTGGTGACATAATCTGTCTCTATGGGGGTGGAAACAGAACAGGCAGAAGCGCAACGCAAATTGGTCGAGGGGCAGAAGCTGAAGGACTTAAAGGTAAAGAATTCCTTTTTTCAAGCTATAGATCGAAATATCATGAAGACTATACTTGACAGAGACACATCAAAGAGCATTTGGGATTCCACGAAACAGAAATACCGAGGCTCTACCAAGGTGAAGAGGGCATAGTTGCAAGCACTTCGGAGGGACTTTGAGACTCTCCACATGAAGGAGGGAGAGACTGTTTGATAATTTCTTTGCTCGTATTCTCACTATAGCCAACAAAATGAAGGCTCATGGTGAGACAATGAGCCAAACCATCATCAATGAGAAAGTTTTGAGGTCCATGACTTCAAAATTTGATTATGTGGTTTGCTCCATTGAAGAGTCCAATGATTTGAACACACTGACCATTGACGAGCTGTAGAGCAGTTTGCTGGTCCATGAACAAAGAATGAATGGCCATTGAGGAGAGGAGTAGGCTCTCAAGGTCACTCATGAAGACAACACTAGCAGAGGATGAGGTCAAGGGACGTTCAGAGGAAGAGGAAGAGGTCGTGGTAGACAACCGTTCAACAAGGCCACTATCGAGTGCTTTAAGTGTCACAAATTAGGACACTTTCAGTACAAGTGTCCCGGTTGGGGGAAGGGAGCCAACTATGCAGAACTAGATGAAGGAGAAGAACTATTATTAATGTCCTATGTAGAGCTTAACGATGCTAAGACAGAAGAGATCTGGTTCCTCGATTCAGGATGTAGTAATCATATGAGTGGGAATAAAGAATGGTTCTTGGATTTGGATGTTCAATTCATGCAAACCTTCCAGCACCAGCTCACCTTCCAGTGAGTCACATGATGGGAATTCCTCGGGTCCAGTTGAAGGGAGGGCAAGACGAGTTCCATTTTGGATGCAAGATTATGAAATCAGAGAGGGCTTGTCAGAAGAAGAAGACGTGAGTGCCATGATGATTCTCACAGAAGCTGATCCCTTTACTTTCGAGGAAGCCATGAAGAGCAAGAAATGGAGAGACACCATGAATGTAAAGATTGAGGCTATTGAACTTAATAAAACATGGGATCTGACTATCCTACCTGCAGGAGTAAAGACCATTGGAGTTAAATGGATTTTTAAAACAAAACTCAATGAAATTGGTGAGATAGACAAATGCAAGGCTAGACTTGTGGCAAATGGATATGCACAACAATATGGGATTGATTACACAGAAGTTTATGCTCCAATTGCAAGACTAGATACCATACGTTTGGTAATTGCCCTATCAACTCAACAAGGTTGGAGTATTTTTCAGCTTGATGTGAAGAGCGCATTTCTGCATGGTGACCTTAGTGAGGAAGTGTTTGTCCAACAGCCTCAGGGATATGAGAAGAAGGGCGAGGAACACAAGGTTTATAAGCTGAATAAGGTCCTATATGGCCTCAAACAAGCTCCACGAGCTTGGTACAGCAAAATTGAGGCCTATTTTGCCAAAGAAGGCTTCGAAAAATGTTATTGTGAACGCACGCTATTCAAAAAGTCGAAGGAAGGAGGTAAGCTCTTAATTGTCTGTCTTTATGTTGATGATTTAATCTTTACTGGGAATGACATGAGCATGTGTGAAGAGTTTAAGAAGTTGATGATGTTAGAATTTGACATGTCTAACCTGGGGAAGATGAGATATTTTCTGGGGGTTGAAGTACTACAAAATTCTGATGGGATTTATGTGAGTCAAAGAAAGTATGTTCATGAAGTTTTAGAAAGATTTGGCATGAACAACAGGAACTTGGTGAAGAACCCCATAGTTCCAGGTTGCAAATTGTCAAAGGACGAGAAGGGAGCTAAGGTTGATGCAAGTGTGTTTAAACAGGTGGTTGGCAGTCTTATGTACTTAACTACAACCAGACCTGATTTGATGTATGGTGTGAGTCTTATCAGCAGGTTCATGTCGTGTCCTACAGAGCAACACTGGTTGGTAGCGAAAAGATTGCTTAGATATTTGAAGGGAATGACTAGTCTGGGGATTTTCTACAAGAAAGGAGGGCCTATTCAGATAGTGATTTTGTTGGAGATGTAGATGATCGCAAGAGTACTTCGGGGAGTGTGTTCATGTTTAGTTCTGGAGCAGTGTCATGGTCATCCAAAAAACAGCCTGTGGTTAGCTTATCCACCACTGAAGCAGAGTACATCGCTGCTGCCTCATGCGCTTGTCAGTGTGTTTGGTTAAGAAGAGTTTTAAAGAAGCTTGGTTATGTACAGGAGAAATGCACTACAATTCTGTGTGATAACAATTCAACTATAAAACTCTCCAAGAATCCTGTTCCTCACTGCAGAAGCAAGCACATTGACATCAGGTTTCATTTTCTTCGTGACTTGGTAAAAGATGGTGTGATTGATTGAGTCATTGTAATACTCAAGACCAGGTAGCTGACATTATGACGAAGCCGCTCAGGTTGGAGGTGTTTTTGAAGCTTCGTAGTTTGATGGGCGTGTGTGAAGTTCCTAATATAAACTGAATGCATTCTGCATACAGTTTAAGGGAGGGAAAGATAAGACTGTTAGAGTTAACAGTTTATTATTCATATCTTTTAGTTAATCAGTCTGTTAATAAGTCCTATCCTTTAGGGACTAGTTTGTGTTTTTAACAAATTCCTATTAGTCTGTTACCATGATTTAGGGTGTTGCAAACGTGGGCTGTTATTTTGATTTTATCTCTTTGTAAAAGGCTTTATAAGCCTGCAGTTTGTTATCAATGAGAATAAGAACTTTTCATTCAAGGTTGTGTGCTATAGTTTCTTCTGAGTGTTCTCAACAATTATTGTATGGTATGGTAATACGGTTATTTTCGACGTATCCAATATTACTTTGGGTACAAATCATCACCTTATTCAATAAGGAAACACTACACAATATATTGGTTTTATTAATCTTCCACCCACTGTCGACTAATGAAACAAAATCACCCAAGAAACAATACTTACGGTTGAAATGCTGAATTATATTACATGAATAACATGCCTTGCAAACTAATCTTTCTTTCAGCATCTTAACGCCAATATACCTGCCCAAACCACAAAAATTGAAGGCAAAAATATTAGCAGCTTATCAGATTTCATCACGAAAAAGCCATATGACTAATTAATTTCTGTTTCGGAGGAGTTATCTAGATATATTCAGACTCAGTACGTTAATATTATATAGTTAAATATTGCTCTCTTTATTATATAGCATACCTGCCCAACATCATGAGGGTGGCTTGAGGATTGGTCCCTGGTGAGAACTTGAATGTGGATCCATCAACAACACGTAAGGCATTGATCCCCTTGACTCGTAAATCCCCATCAACCACCTTTCCCACAAGGCATCCCCCATGGTAGTGCCAAAATGTGGCTACTGTGTCTCGACAAAATGTTTCCAAGGATGCGGTATCTGTAAGGTTCATTGGTAATGGTGGTCCGAAAAAGTTGAAACCATCTATACCCGGCAAATCTTGAGCCTTAAATGGTTTCAACGAATTTGTGCTTAATAAATCACCAATCTTCCTTGTGGCACTAACACAACGAGCAAGATCCAGCGGATTTGCAAAGTAGTTGAAGCGGACATTTGGACCAACTTTGACATCATAGGACGACTGCAGCCTAAGCGAACCATAGGACAAGGGTCCTGGAACTTTGTACGCAATTTGTCTGAAAGTTGAATTTATCTTTGTGGAGAAAGATGGATCAGGAAAAACACTAAAGGGTGGAGTAGAAAATGGCAACCCCGAGAAAGTCTCTATGTAGAAATCGCTTGTGATACCAGCAATCTGTGGAGTAGAGGCATCCAGTTGAAATGGAGGTAAAATTGTGATGTAATTACGAGGATTATCACGCATAAACTGTCCAATGTAAGGCTCGGGGTGAACAACTGGGATTTTGATAGATGAAAGGTAGGACTCTGGGCCAACACCACTAAGTAGCAGGAGTTGAGTGCTTCCAATTGCCCCGGCACTCAATATAACCTCTCCCTTACCACGTATGAAGGCCTGATGTGACCTCCCTTTAGAATCACTATACACGATTCCTCAAGCAGACAAACCTGCATGGTTAGAACAGATCGTAGTTATTATCGAATTATTGAAAACTGAACATATCGATTAACTCTTAATCTAATGGTATTTCTCCTGTCAATGTTCGAATACCCTGCTCCATTAACAAAGAAATTCCAGTAAAAGATGCAAATATATTAAACATACTAGGTGCGTTGGAAGAGAATATGATTCTCTCTACTGTGGCATGAACTGCAACTCGCAAGTTCTTCGGGTTTCCTAGATTAAGCAATTCCACAGCTCCATGTCTCCTTCCCTGATTGTCAAAAAGAGTACCCGTGACCTTACTTCCTGGAATGTGATTTAAATTATATCCGTTGTCTGGACGAACACCAGCCTCTAACAAACCTTCCTTCACAACAGATTGCCAACGTGACACATTTGGGGGGGATACGACAGTATTTTCAACCCATTGATAGGCCTTGCTAACCAAATCCATGTCCCATTCAATTCCTGAGCTTCCATAAAATTCTTTTTCGGCGCTAGAGTATATATAATACCAATGTTGATCATGCTTGATCCACCAAGAACCCTGCCTCTTACATTGGCCACACCATCTTCGGATGTGAACCTTTCAGCTGGCGTCTTTCCATCGTCTTCTAGCGTGAGAGTTGAAATAACCCCATCTTGGCACAAAACACTTGGATATGCACTTGGAACACTGCCCTTTTCTAGCAGGAGCACCGAGTAATTTGCTGATAAAGTTGCTGCTATTGGGCAGCCTGCTGTACCCCCTCCAACTACAATGTAGTCGTACACTTCTTCTAATGGCAGATCAATGGAATTATAGACAAATTTCATGTAGCTTAAATCTGCAAAATATGAAGAGATGGAAGTAATTGAATTGTATCAGGAGAACTGTTTGTTATATAATACCAATATATGCCTTCTCTCTTTTCTTTCTTTTTTTTTTTTTTTTTTTTTTTTTTTTTTTTTGTTTTTTTTGAATTAGAGTGATACCCTTGAGCATAGTTATTAGTATATAACCAGACGGGAAAAAGTTTCAAAAAATACGGTGAAAAATTCATCTATTATTTAATTTTATAATATTATTTATTTCAATTTATTAATGTATGTTATTTATATTCAATAATATGTGAAATACGTGAATTTTTCATTATTATTTAAAACTTTATAAAAAAATACATGTAATAAAAATGTGTATTTTTGTGTGTATTTGATATGTGTACATAAAACGAAAATATTTTGAAAAAATGTGTTATTTATATTATGTAATTTCCATCTCATGATTCTTTCCAAAACTGATTTCAAGCTACATGATGAACTATTGTGGAAATAGTGATTTACCATGATCAGATGGAGTAGCGAATGATTGAACCTCAGATTGAGGATAGAAGACAGACAGGTACAAAAGAAATAATATAACACCAATTCTTGACTTTTCCATGTCTTTTTAGCCAAGCTCACGTTTCTTTCTCCTGACAAATTCAAAAGCAGTTTCAACAATCAAATTGAATTAGCCAAGGTGAATTCTTCATGAACTAGGAGCCCGATAACACAGTTTAGCTACATGAAAACACCAGCTTATGAAATAATAATCAAATACCGTCGTACTTCAAATTTGGTGTCCCAAACATACGGAAACAAAAAAATGTTATGACAAAAAATAAAAAATAAAACGAAGAAAACCTTATGTGCATGCTCGCATTCCTACACAAGAATTTGTTTTGTATGTTTAGAAGAACTTACAAATGTTCAATCATTTTAAATTTAAAAAAAAAAAATTATAAAAAAAATTTATGAGTAATTCGTACTTGCAATGAAAAATAGGACCATGTCTGTCGATGATCGAAAGAACTCCATCCACAATGTGAGTTAGGATAGGATTTGCCTTAGATCAAATTACCACTTCTGATTATCTAATGCCACGAAATCCCCAAGCAACATGACATAGATATTCGAGGCCTTGTTACATATATATATATATATATAGATAGGCCAAGAAGATCAAAATCAGAGGTGTGGAGTTTTGATTTTAATTTTAAATAAGGACCCCGAGTCTTCTTTAAAATTTGCATTAAACGTACGGGGAAAAAAAAAAAAAAAAAAAAAAAAAAAAAAAAAAAAAAAAAAAAAAAAAAAAAAAAAAAAAAAAAAAAAAAAAAAAAAAAAAAAAAAAAAAAAAAAAAAAAAAAAAAAAAAAAAAAAAAAAAAAAAAAAAAAAAAAAAAAAAAAAAAAAAAAAAAAAAAAAAAAAAAAAAAAAAAAAAAAAAAAAAAAAAAAAAAAAAAAAAAAAAAAAAAAAAAAAAAAAAAAAAAAAAAAAAAAAAAAAAAAAAAAAAAAAAAAAAAAAAAAAAAAAAAAAAAAAAAAAAAAAAAAAAAAAAAAAAAAAAAAAAAAAAAAAAAAAAAAAAAAAAAAAAAAAAAAAAAAAAAAAAAAAAAAAAAAAAAAAAAAAAAAAAAAAAAAAAAAAAAAAAAAAGCTTACAAAAACACCACAGCACAATGATGTGCCATGCTCAGTTTTGTTTTGCCGAGGATGGTAGAGTGCCCATTTGAAAAGTTTGACACAACACAGGTTCCTTATGCAACAACACATATAAAAGTGAATCAGGAGATGATTGCAGGTCAAAGCCAAAAAGGTGGCAGGCCTCTCGTCTCTGTTTTACATTTATGATGTCACAACTACTGGAAGGTCCTTCCTTAAGGAAAACCTCCTAGAGATAGTGTGACCACTTGAAGAATACTTAGCTTGCAGAATTTTCAAAAAGAACCTTATCTTTCTTGAAATCAATTGTAAAATATGCAGGCTCTTTTTGAGCATTTGCAATGCAAGGCAAAGTAAAAATTGATACACAATTTGCATAGGTTAGTATCATATACTTGCGAAGGGGTGGTGACTACATCTTTATATGAATATATATATATATATATATCATGGTGAATCATTGGGTGGCCTGATCCCTTTTTGGGTGCCTTGTGTTTTTAATCCCAAAGTGAAGAGTTAAAAAGCCAAATAGTTCCTCAAAGAGGCCTTGGTATGGGGTAGCCTCCCCTCTCCCTAAACACATGATAGTTCTTTCACTTCATACACTGCAAGGTGAGTCTTGTTTATGGCAAGGAGGTGCAGCTCATTCTGGTGAATTTGGATGTAAGTATCTGACAATGATCTCAACTCCTTCCCATTTGGAATCTGCAAAAATTTGCTTCTCTGTTTTTCCCACCCAACAGCACCCCACACAAAAATCTGCAGGGCCAAAATGACATCGATTGGTGGAATGTGTGCAGGTGTTCTGGCCTTGTGACTTCGAGTTTACCAGTAAATTTATTGGACAGCAAACACACGAACCCAGAGCTGATTGGCAAGTGAAAAAATTTGGAGGTGTTATCATTGGGTTCATGCTTAAATTTGGCGAAAATACTTGCAATTATGCAAACACATTGCAAGAATTTTTATGGTTTAGATTTGTCCAAAGGCTCTGTTCATGGGCGTGAGGCGTTGTCAATTGTGAAGTTGGTGCCCAAAAATGATATGACAAATTTGTATATTTAAAAGATATAGCCGAACGGCTTTGCTTTCTAAATACATTTGGATATTTGAAACTATAGCCGTTCGGCTATACCCGTTAAATATTAATATATTCGAAAATGTTAAGAGTATGGCCATATTTTAAAAGTATAGCCGAACGGCTATACCCTTTAAATATTTTCGAGAAAAACACGAAGCTTGCACTAGCAGACGACGGAGCTTGCAGAAGCCATTTCGCTTCTCTATCAACTCGAGCTTCGATTTGTTTTCTTCGGTTTCGGCTGCTTCGTCCTCCTTGTTCGCCCCGAAAAAAGACCCAACCCGCCCAGGAGGCCCGCCCAGCCGCCTAGCGCCCGCCTAGCCGCCTAGCTTCCGCCTAGCCGCCTTGCCGCCCGCCTAGGCCGATTTTTCCAAAACAGAGATTGACTGAAAGTCTGAAACCCGAAATTGAAAAAGTTTAGCTGCAAATTTGAGCTTGAGATTGAGATTGGGAAGCCGAAGCAAGCACAAGTCAGGTCCATAGAAGAAGAGATCATTAGACTCTTAATTCATCTAATTCCATTTGCTGACTTGGTGTCTGTCTTCAGTGGAAGGAAATGATGAAGCTATCCTATCATGGAGTTTCTACGGTCTTGCCAATAACAAGGTTCGGTTTTTAGGCCCCAATCTCAAATTCTGACTATTTATTTCTGGTTTGGTTAAGCAAAAAATTGATTGGTTTGGTTCTTCTTGCTTGAAACTTGATAAATCTTTATGCATTCAATATTCATCCATTGATGGTTCTTCTTGGTTGGACTGCTTTTCATTCTTTGGATATCCAAATTTGAAAAAGCGGTGCAGGAGCAGTTGTTCATGCACATCATCTCACATTCCTTGAGGTTCATACTTGTGTTATACCAGTGTTCTGTACTTGGCAATTTCACCCCAGAGTACTTCTTAAAGATGTCTCCACTACAAGTCCCAGTCTTGTTGAAAGGTCGGTATAAATCCTTTCAAGCAGCTACATACTGGGGACTTGTCAATACTACTTGCACCATTTGGACCACATATTCCATATTTGTCACAGATATCAGTCGTTGCTATTAGATAAACGACCCAACCTTGGTTTCCATCACTCCCGATGTAGCTCAGCCCAAATCCCAGCCTGAAAAGAGTTGAGCTGTTGAGAAGCTTGCACCATTAAAATCATATGTTGGATTTAAATTATGCATCCCACTAAATTGGATTCCATTCCATGGTGCAGTCCGATATTTTATAACTGAACCCTCCCTCAGAATTAATTCATGGTATCCATAAGGACCAAGTTGATATGCATAATGTCCTTGAGAAGGATCCTGGGGGCTTTTCCAGGGTGTAAGATGCCAATTAAAACATGTGATTTTGTTCCCAACAAGCTTCATACCTGTTATTAATGTATCACCTGGGTAATCAAAACTCTGCCATAAAATATTATCACGGTCATTATGACCATTGCCATCTATCACAACAAGATTTCCGGAATCCAAAAGCTGTGCCACTGGATTCTTTGCAGAACTTGATGTGTTGGAAGACCTGTAGTGTTCTTATGCTCGACAGGGACAAGAATTCCAGGGCTTCTCAACTTGAGTACACCTGATGAACCAGTGAGGGGTGTGTTTCTTTTAGTCTGCACTATATGTGGAGAGTCTGACTCTGATTTGAAGATAATTGTATTAATTTGGTAAGGCTTTGTCTCACCTTAAAAGATTTCACAATTAGCAGCATTGGCAATACTTGATTATAAAGTAGAAACCCTACAGTATATAGTTAAGTTGAGTACCTGGGAAGACAATTAGTAAGCTTTCAATGCTAAAGTTGAATAGTGGGGAGACAAATTACTATAATTTGACACACATTTCTTACTTTTTTTCAATTCTAACATCAGGCCATCTATATCGCAATGGGCCATTGTAGTTAAATTTTCAAATAACCAAGTTGCTCTCTATATCCTATTGGAAACTGAAGGGGTAGAGGACTAGAAAACAACTCACCATCTATCTGGTGCTGCTTCTTACATTAGAAAAAACAGAGCTACACCCAAGAGGAGCCCAGGAGATGACACAATACTGCGTACTATGATTCTTACTTTCTTCAGATTCAATGAGACTATAAAATATAACCCAAGTGGTCTAACCCCCCGGGGCGGAAATTGGTTTTAGCAGGTTTAGCACTGATTGTTGTATAGTCTTCATGATCTTGGCAGGAAATATATTTGAAAGCAAAAAAAGTGAGAAGTTAGATATTCAGAAAGAAAAAAAAAACTTTTGTAATGTCTATCATCCATTGATCTTAACAGACGAATTTTGACAGTAGAGTTTGATAATTGTGTCCAAATCCAAAATTATAGAGTAACAACCTTTGGGTTTGATATGTTCTGACTTTATTTTTTGTACATGATCATGAAGAGATGGATAACTCCCAATTGACTGTTCCTTATCCAATGACGTTTCTTTTTTTTTCTCTTGTTTTCTTTAAAATTTGCATTAACGTACACTGAATTTTGAGATTAAAAATGACTCCATACCTAGTTCTGATGCTGCCATTCTAAAATAAATATCTTGCCCATTTTCAGTGAAATTTCTTACATCAATCAGCTCACTAAACCACAGCAGGCACCACTTCCTCCATCCCTGGTATCCAAGTTTGCAAAAGCTGTGCAGGAGCAGTTCTTCTTGCACAACATCTCACATTCCTTGAGTTCCATACTTCTGTTAAACCCAGATACATCATTTGCAGAAGATCCATCATTTGCAGTCTGTTTTGTTCACTCTTAAGGTTTGTTACCCGTTTCAGCTTTCAAGTATATGCCAAATTGAAAGCAAGTATATAATATTTGGTTGCATTTGTATGTCACGGAGAGACTCATTGGCTACTGATGAGAGGCTTAATGCTCTAGAAGAAGAGGTTCACATCTTTTTCAATTTTCAATTCAATGAAAAAGTAGCAGAAATGGGCTTTGCAATGCTTTTTAGGTACGGCTTCTGTGGGCTGCATCAAGAAAGTACAACTTCGATCTTCATGTTTTAGAGTCTAAAGCACAAGATGATGAGGATAGACTCGAAACGGTTGCCTCTCAGGCTCCAAAGGTCATGCACTGATGTACTCAATCCATCTTTGGTCTATGGCTATGAGTGTGTGATGTTGTTAGTGTGGGGTTCATTTTGCCCTTGGCTTCTTTCTCTTTGCTTTCAGATGGCTGACATTGTTACAGAACAATGGATTCAAATTCAGCGGTTTGAGCAGGCTCTTCATATTACACACAAGTTTTTGGCTTCAGGTTATTTATTTGCTAAATTCATAAGTTTTGCTGAATTAGTGGGGCACAACATGGCTTGAGCACGAATATTAGTGGGCCGTGCTCGGCAAAGCACGAAAGGTTGGGCCGTGCCGGAATCAAAAAATTAGTATAATCACAGTGATATGAATTGATATTTGACCTTCTCTAAAGATAGATGACGTGTGACTGAACATAACATGAGCGAGGTTAATGCAGCCAACTTAAAGTAGTTGAATTCGGCTTAGCTGATTGTGATGTCAAGTATCGTGGACCAACTAAAATTTTCTTTTGCTGTAACTTCTGCAAGATGGAATCTGTGCATTGACTATTTCAAGATTTTAAATTGGTATGACAGGCCGCTCATCTCTGTTTCACATTTATGAGGTCGCAACTACCGTACTTGGGGAAAACCTCCTAGAGATAGTGTGACCACTTGAAGAATACTTAGCTTGCAGAATTTTCAAAAAGAACCCTATCTTTCTTGAAATCAATTGTAAAATATGCAGGCTCTTTTTGAGCATTTGCAATGCAAGGCAAAGTAAAAATTGATACACAATTTGTATAGGTTAGTATCCTATACTTGCGAAGGGGTGGTGACTACATCTTTATATGAATATATATATATATATATATATCATGTTGTTGGGTGGCCTGACCCCTTTTTGGGTGCCTAGTGTTTTTAATCCCAACGTGAAGATTTAAAAAGCCAAATAGTTCCTCAAAGAGGACTTGGTATGGGGTAGCCTCCCCTCTCCCTAAACACATGCTAGTTCTTTCACTTCATAACCTGCAAGGTGAGTCTTGTTTATGGCAAGGAGGTGCAACTCATTCTGTGAATTTGGATGTAAGTATCTGACAATGATCTCAACTCCTTCCCTTCTGGAATCTGCAACCATTTGCTTCTCTGTTTTTCCCACCCGGCAGCACCCCACACAAAAATATGCTGGGCCAAAACAACATCGATCGGTGGAATGTGTGCAGGTGTTCTGGCCTTGTGAGTGTGACTTCGAGTTTACCAGTAAATTTATTGGACAGCAAATGCACGAACCTAGAGCTGATTGACAAGTGGAGAAATCTGGAGAAAATACTTGCAATTATACAAACACATTGCAAGAATTTTTATGGTTTAGATTAGTCCAAAGGCTCTGTTCATGGGCGTGAGGCATTGGCAATTGTGAAGTTGGTGCCCAAAAATGATATGACAAAATTGTATATTTAAAATGTATAGCCGCACGGCTTTACTTTCTAAATACAATCGGATATTTTAAATATATATTCGAATATTTTAAGCGTATAGCCGTCTGGCCATATTCTTTAAATATATTCGAAACGAACACGAAGCTTGCACTAGCGGATGACGGAGCTTGCAGAAGCCATTTCATTTCTCTATCAACTCAAGCTTCGAATTGTTTTCTTCGGTTTCGGCTGCTTCGTCCTCCTTGTTCGGCCCCGAAAAAAGGCCCAACCAGCCTAGGAGGCCCACCCAGCCGCCTAGCCGCCCGCCTAGGCCGATTTTTCGAAAACAGTGATTGACTGAAAGTCTGAAACCGGAAATTGAAAAAGTTTAGCTGCAAATTTGAGCTTGAGATTGAGATTGGGAAGCCGAAGCAAGCACAAGTGAGGTCCATAGAAGAAGGGATCATTTGACTCTTAATTCATCTAATTCCATTTGCTGACTTGGTGTCTGTCTTCAGTGGAAGGAAATGATGAAGCTATCCTATCATGGAGACTTTGTAATGGCCTAATAGTAATGGATAATGCTCTAAACTACTCTTATCGATAAAGGAAAATCAGGGAAATTATTATTTTTTTTTGTTTTTTTAAAAGAAAAGAGTACAGCCGTGCGGTTTCTATTAAAATAAAATAAAAAAGAACTCGCCTAACCCGTCTAGCCACCTAGGAGGCCGATTTTTCCAAAACTTGAAAGGCATGTTTTTTTAACCTGGCTGTTCTGGCATCTCTGCAAATACTCAATTTTGAACCTTGGGAGTTGCCTGCATTCAATCAATATCATTAGAATCAAATGACCAACTATCGCTCCGGTTTCAATTTTGAAAGGAAAGAGAGGAGAAATCTAAGTTACAAGCAGTAAGATTTACTCTCTTTTTTCCTCCTGTTTTTAGATAGCAGGTATATTTGGTGACTTAATGCATTATGTTGTTTGTTTCTTATGGTTTTGGCAGTGTTAGAGTTTATGAGAAATTATGATTCTTTGCTGTGTTAATAAAATATTAAGCATCTTTATTCATAATTTTGTCTTTTGGCAATATGGGTTTTTCTTAATTGAAAATAGGTCCCTCTATAGTTGAGGTGTTGGTAGTCAGTTTATGTGACTTCTGATCTCATGAGTTTGATAAGAGTAGAAATTGCCCTGCTTTACTAATGCCGGTTACGAGAGGCTAATCCTACAGACCAAAGAAATGCAATTTGAGGTTTAGCAAGATTTAATTTTGAATCTGGTTATTTCTTCTAAATCCTTTGATTGGATTTTCAATGCAATTTGTCGTATGGCATACAGTTCATATTCAAATTACATAGGTATTTTATACAAGTATATACATTTGGAATTATATGAACTTGTCTACAAAACAAATATTTGAAGCAGATTTTGGGATCCATTTGGATAAACTTTGAGTTAAAACTGGGGGGATTAATGTGATATGATGATGAACAGCAATCAGTAATGGAATTTTAATACTGACTTGATCTGTAAAGAGCCAAATGTATGTAATAACTTAGGAATGCTGCAGCCATTTGACAACCAAAACAAATAAGCTAATGTTTTGTCAGCTGCATCCAGGACCTTGTCTTTTGTTGATTTAATTTACTTTTTGCCTTGCTTTGCATGCCAAATTATTTGATATATTTACATCTGATATGCAAGAGTTAATCACATGATGTTTGCATTTTGCAGCTTCAGCAGTAGCACCTTTCTACAAGGAGATCCGTTTCTTGGAATTCTCAGGACTCTTGATCTTTTATCTCCTCTGTTGATTACGCTGATGGTTCGTTTTCTCTATGCGAAGGAGAATTTGCAGGGCGTACAAAAACACCACAGCACAATGATGTGCCATGCTCAGTTTTGTTTTGGCGAGGATGGTAGAGTGCCCGTGTGAAAAGTTTGACACAACAGGTTCCTTATGCAACAACCCATATAAAAGTGAATCAGGAGATGATTGCAGGTCAAAGCCAAAAAGGTGGCAGGCCTCTCATCTCTGTTTTACATTTATGATGTCACAACTACCGGACGATCATTCCTAAGGGAAAACTTCCTAGAGATAGTGCGACCACTTGAAGAATACTTAGCTTGCAGAATTTTCAAAAAGAACCTTATCTTTCTTGAAATCAATTGTAAATTATGCAGGCTCTTTTTGAGCATTTGCAATGCAAGGCAAAGTAAAAATTGATACACAATTTGTATGGTGACTACATGTTTATATGAAAAAAAAAAAAAAAAATCATGGTGAATCATTGAGTGGCGTGATCCCTTTTTGGGTGCCTTGTGTTTTTAATCCCGAAGTGAAGAGTTAAAAAGCCAAATTGGTATGGGGTAGCCTCCCTTCTCCCTAAACAAATGCTAGTTCTTTCACTTCATACACTGCAAGGCGAGTCTTGTTTATGGCAAGGGGGTGCAGCTCATTCTGGTGAATTTGGATGTAAGTATCTGACAATGATCTCAACTCCTTCCCATCTGGAATCTGGAACAATTTGCGTCTCTGTTTTTCCCACCCAGCAGCACCCCACACAAAAATCTGCAGGGCCAAAACGACATCGGTCGGTGGAATGTGTGCAGGTGTTCTGGCCTTGTGTGACAGGACCCGCCCCGGAATTTCTCCCCAAACCGGGGCGGACCCCGTATTGTTGCCGACATCTCACCGATGCCGGGCCCATTTACTAAAAACCCAAGACATCCTACCAAAATTTTGGCAGAGTCTCCCCTGTAAGATGCTCAAACCCAACAACATTCAACCTGCATAATTTACATAATATAAATCCCAACTGCCAGCATGCTTTCAACATACAACAATTCAAAGTAAAGTGGCCTCCGGCCTCAAGTAACAACCTAACATGGGCGATAACAGAGCATCTAACAGAATTTGTTTACAACAACAGTAGAGTAGAAGGAATTTACACGAGTCCTATCTACAGATGAAATGTTTGGAGCTCGCAACTGCTCGAGCGCTTCCAAAAGCCACTACTGCCTGGGGGGCGCAAAACGGAAATATGTGAGTGGACAAAAATAAAGTTTGCATTTAAAACAACATAGTAACCCCACCATGTAAAAATAATGCTCAAGCATGCAGTCTCCACATCCATAAATCAAATACTCAAACATAAAATCTCAAAGTCCAATAACTCTCAAAAATCTCAAACCACAACTCCATTCCCACAAGTATGCAACTCTCACCAACCCATACATATGTATACCTATATAAGTATATATATATATATCTATAATATAACGTATACTTCTCTCCATACTAATGTACCGGGGAAGACAATCCAACCGGGGGATTGTTGGCTGGTACGCAGGATTTTCGAACCAGAACCCGCGTCCAGGGATGAGTAGTCCAACCGGGGGACGGAACTCCATAGCTCACACGCCGGCACTGCCAACGCCACGTGTAGCTCACAAATCTCATATCAAGTCCTACGCGCGCAGACAGTATCATCCCCACACCGGCACTGCCAACGCCATGTGTGATGATACTAAGCAATATACATACTCTTCCCATACACCGGCACTGCCAACGCCATGTATGGGACCAGCAATCTCATGACCTTCCCACCACACCGGCACTGCCAACGCCATGTGTGGGAAGCCTAGTAACCAGGGAATGGTACTCACCTAACATACTCATACATCTCACAACCATCCCTCAAACTCATATCTTTCCACAATCTCATAACAACAACTCCTCATACTCCATACATAGCACAATCTCACAACATCAACTCCTCATACTCTATACATAGGCAATATAGACAGATATCCCAAAATCCATATAAACATATCCATAATACTCAAACATAGCCATACTCAAAATATATTGCCAATACGTATATGAATATCCAAAGTCATCAACCAAATACTTAATAAATCACATTTCCATTTAAAAACATATGCACAAATCTTTTATCAATAAAACCATGCAAATGCTTGAAAACAAAGTCCACTCACAGGTAATCCCACGCTGCCCGGCCCCGAGAGGGTCCTGCCTGCTGCGAACGATCGACCGAAGTACCTATTTCGAGATACGAACTCTTGATTAATATAATACCCTTCAAAACGGGAATTCACAAAAGAGAATACTTAAATCCCCAAGATCCCGGTGCGTGTACGTCCAATAGGATATCCTTACAGGTTTGGGAATCGCTTCCCATCCTACGGTTATCGCTAATTCCCACAAACTTCGAATTATTGAATCGGAACATCCGGGGCTCCGATTCACGATCCACGAATTCCTATAGGATTCTAAGAGTACCTAAATCAACATACTTCAATTTGGAAACGATCCAACGGTTAGAACTTATCGAACCCGAATAACGCACAATATGCGAAATCCGTTCGATAGTCAAACGACATCCAAATTGAGATCCGTAAAATCCTACGCACTCGTGACAACCTAATGATCTCATCAGGATGAAAAAGCAACTTCAACAGCCTTGCCCACGCGCCGCCACACGCGCCGGCAGCGCGTGGGTGTGTAGAGAAATTTCCGGCGACGGAAAATCTCCACACCAACGCTCACCCTTCCTACCCTAGCTTCTTCTCAAGGTCAGGATCACTTTATTCAACTACCACGAGGTCCAATTCGCACGGGAACTGGCCGGAATTTCAAATTGAAAACCGGCCAAAACCTAGGTTTCCAATTCGGTTCCAAAACTCAAAATCGATCCAAACCTACCCCAAAAACAGCTAGAGCACGTAAAAAGAAGAAGAAAACTCACCAACTTTACTTGAAACAGACGGCGGAGGCGGCGGCGCAACGATCGGAAACTTCCGGTTCGAACCAGTCGATACCGTCGACGATTCTCCGGCTTTCCGGCAAGGAAATTGGGTGGGTCTTGATCGGGACTTCACGACGAGTCTAACGGGACTGGTCTCGAGGGCTGAGGTGGACTGTGGCGGCGGCGGCACGGTGGTTTCCGTTCGGTGCACAGTGACGGGGAGGGGGAACATCGCAGAGGGAGGAGACGCGGGAGAGAGAGAGAGAGAAAGTGAGGGGTAAATGTGAAAAATCTGATTTTACCCCAAACTTACTTCGAAATAATTACGGTTCCGCCACCGAACTTATTTGATCGCCAAAACTTCGTTACAACTCCGATTCAAGCCTACCGCCTGTCTACGGTTTCGTCTCAGTACCACCTACGCAACCAAACCACTCGTGGTCCCGAAATCCTTCTGGATAAGAAAATGACCAAAATTACCCTTAACCCAAGAGTAAATTAATAATTCTCTTAATTTAATTAAAATAGGAATAAATTTGGAGTCGGGGTGTTACAATCTACCCCCCTTATAAAAATTTCGTCCCCGAAATTCACGTACCTTTCAATGGAAGAGATAAGGGTACTTGGCCCGCATTTGCTCTTCAGGTTCCCAAGTAGCTTCTTCAACAGTTTGACTTCTCCACAAAACTTTCACTACCGGGATGGATCTAGAACGCAACCTTTGTTCTTTCCTATCCAAGATCTGTACTGGTTGCTCTTCATACGATAAATCTTCTTCTAACTCCACAGGTTGATATTCTAATACATGAGAAGGGTCTGGCATGTATTTCCGGAGCATGGATACATGAAACACATCATGTACTCGAGATAGTTCTGGGGGTAATGCAAGTCTATATGCAACAGGTCCAATTCGCTCCGTAATCTCATAAGGTCCAATGTAACGAGGGCTTAACTTCCCACGTTTCCCAAATCTCATCACACCCTTCCAAGGAGATAATTTCAGGAACACCCAATCCCCAACTGCAAACTCAAGATCCTTAGACCTGTTATCTGCATAACTCTTCTGTCGGTCTTGTGCAGTTTTCAACTTCTCCTTTATCATCTTCACCTTCTCATTTGTTGCTCGGATACTATCCACTTTTTCCAGTTTCTTGTCACCCACTTCATTCCAACAAATGGGAGTCCTGCACTGCCTCCCATACAACGCCTCATAAGGAGCCATCCCAATACTTGAATGATAACTGTTATTATAAGCAAACTCCACCAAGGCAAGGTGAACATCCCATGCATCCTTAAACTGTAACACACAGGACCTCAACATGTCCTCCAGAGTCTGGATAGTCCTTTCCGATTGTCCATCGGTTTGTGGGTGAAAAGCGGTACTGAACTGCAATCTAGTACCCATAGCTTCTTGTAAACACCTCCAGAATCGAGAAGTGAACCTAGGATCCCTGTCCGATACAATGGACACAGGTGCTCCATGCAATCTCACAATCTCATCCACAAAAAGTTTTGCCAATCTTGTCAAAGGATAGGTCTCCTTAATGGGTAGAAAATGGGCAGACTTGGTGAGTCTATCCACTATCACCCAAATTCCATCATGACCCTTTGAAGTACGTGGAAGCTTGAAAACAAAATCCATGGCAATACGCTCCCACTTCCATTCAGGAATCGGAAGTGGTTGCATGAGTCCCGATGGCTTCTGTCGCTCCGCCTTCACTTGTTGACAAATCAAACATCTACTCACATATTTGGCAATGTCTCCCTTCATATGCGGCCATGAGTAATATGCCCGTAGCGTCCGATACATCTTCGTACTACCCGGATGCATAGTGTAAGTGGAACAGTGAGCTTCCTCCATGATTTCTCTTTTCAATTCAGCATTCTTACTAGGTACACATAGACGAGCTCCTTTTACCAAGGCTCCGTCTCCCCTTATGGCATAATCTTTCCGTGTTCCATTTTCTACTTCTCCCCTTATCCTACAGAGTGTAGGATCTTCCCAACTGGCCTGCAATTACCCGTTCCACCATAATGGGTCTCACATGCAAGCTAGCAAGGATTCCACCTTGTTGAGTCATCTCCATTTCTACTCCATCCTTCCGTAGTTCCACTAACAACGGAAGATAGGCCGTCCTGATGTGAGCTAAGTTCGCAGTGGTCTTTCTACTCAATGCATCTGCAACCACATTAGCTCGGCCTGGGTGATACTCAATCGTGCAATCATAGTCCTTGATCAATTCCAGCCAACGCCGTTGCCTCATATTCAGCTCCTTCTGGGTAAAGAAATACTTAAGGCTTTTGTGATCAGTGAAAATCTGACACGTCTCACCATACAAGTAGTGCCGCCAAATCTTCAAAGCAAACACCACTGCAGCAAGTTCCAAATCATGAACTGGATAATTCCGCTCATGCTTCTTGAGTTGCCTCGAGGCATAAGCAATCACCCGATCATGTTGCATCAGAACACATCCCAATCCTTGCAAAGATGCATCACTGTAGATCACGAAGCCCCCTGAGTTATCAGGAAGAGCCAAAACAGGTGCGGTGGTCAACCGCTTCTTCAACTCCTGAAAACTCTGTTCGCACTCTTCCGTCCACTCAAATGCAACATCTTTCCTTGTCAACCTCGTGAGAGGTGCTGCTATCGAAGAGAACCCTTCCACAAATCGACGATAGTAACCTGCTAACCCCAGAAAACTCCGTACTTCCGTCACACTTGTGGGTTGCACCCAATTCACAATAGCCTCAACTTTCTGCGGATCCACATAAATCCCTTCCGTTGAGATTACATGTCCAAGGAATACCACTCTATCAACCAAAACTGACACTTGCTAAATTTGGCATAAAGCTGCTTCCTCCTTAAAGTCCTTAATACCAATCTTAGATGCTTCTTATGCCCTTCCAAAGTCTTGGAGTAAACCAAGATATCATCTATGAACACAATCACAAAGTGATCCAAGTATGGTCGGAACACTCTGTTCATGAGATCCATAAACGCTGCTGGAGCATTCGTCAGTCCAAACGGCATCACCAGAAATTCATAATGACCATACCGCGTTCTGAATGCGGTCTTGGGAACATCCTCTTCTCTAATCCTCAATTGATGGTACCCTGATCTCAGATCAATCTTAGAGAAATACTTGGCATCTTTCAACTGATCGAACAAATCATCAATCCGAGGCAAAGGATACCGGTTACGTACTGTCACCTTATTCAACTGCCGGTAATCAATACATAACCTCATGGTCCCATCCTTCTTCCTCACAAACAACACCGGTGCACCCCATGGGGAAACACTAGGTCGGATGAAACCCATATCCACTAATTCCTGCAACTGAGTCTTCAATTCCCGAAGCTCGGCTGGTGCCATCCTATAAGGAGTTAGATAGATAGGATTGGTGCCTGGAAGGAGTTCAATAGTAAACTCGATTTCCCTTTCAGGAGGTAACCCAGGAAGATCATCTGGAAAGACATCGGGAAACTCACTAACAACGGGAATATCTTCCAGATTCAAGGTGATCTCTCGAGTGTCGATGATATGAGCTAGGAATCCTTCACACCCTTTCTGGAGTAACCTCTTAGCTGTAATAGCAGAGATAAGGCAAGTAGGGAGGATTCTACGTTCTCCCCGGAATATCACTTTGGGTTGTCCCGGACTCCGGAGTGTCACTTCCTTCCGGAAACAATCCACGGACGCATGATGCTTCTCTAGCCAATCCATCCCTAAAATAATATCCAAATCCACCAAATCTAAGGGAATCAAATCGGCTTCCAACCACGCATCGTCCACTTGGACATAACACTCTCTGAATACCCGGTCCGCATACAAGACTTCCCCCGTGGGTAGAGAAATACTAAAGCTTCCTGTCATGGGTGTCGGTCTCACACTGACATAAGGTACGAAGTTGTGTGCTACGAAAGAATGTGTGGCCCCCGGGTCAATTAAAACACGAGCAAGATAACCAAAAATAGGGATCATACCGGTAATCACGTCTGGAGTGGCATGTGCCTCCTGCTGGGTCATAGAGAACACCCTAGCCTGAGTGGTAGAACGCCCAGGCTGACCCCTTAAATTTCTGCCACCTCTTCCCCTAGAAGTTGACGGTGCCCTGCTACTAGAAGATCCTGCTGTAGAGGAAGTTGCACCACTTTGACTCTGATGCTGACCCATATTCCCCTGCCCCTGCTGGGCTCCGGTCCCTTGCACTGGTGCATCACTGGGGTAGATCAATGGGCAGATCCTCTTAGTATGCTCCGTTTGTCCACAAAAGTAGCATATTGGGCCGCCGCTCTGGCTTTGTTTACCTCCTTGAGTGGAACCAGGGCAATCCCTCGCAAAGTGCCCAACCTGCCCGCAACTATAGCATGTCAACCCAGTCTGCCTGGAGGGAGTCCTAGCTGTGCTAGATGCAGGCTGTAGCTCTGAGTACTGAGTCCATGCTGGACGAGACCCGAATCTCCCACTACCAGAACTGGATCCCCGTCCACCTGACCATCCACTACTAGCAGAGCTAGAACTAGATCCTCCTCTCTTGGATGGGCCCTGACTCGGACCACCCAATCCTTGCGCATCTCTGCGGCGTCTACCTGTACCTGTAGCACATCTCCTGGATACTCTGTCAGCGGCCTGAGCCAAAGCCCTCATGTTGGTGTAAGTGTTGGCAGTGAAAACGGCCTGAATCTCCCACCACAAACCGCCTTCAAAGCGTCTGCACCGATCCTCTTCAGTAGCCACTAACTCTGGCGCAAACCTTGACAGCTCATTAAACTTATGCTCATACTCGGCCACCGACATTGATCCCTGCTTCAAATATAGGAACTCGGACTTCTTCGCATACCGATAAGAGGGTGGATAAAACTGATCGGAGAAGACCCTCTGAAATTCCTCCCAAGTAATAGTGGTCAGATCTTCATAGCCCCTCTTTACTGCTTTCCACCAATGGTAAGCATTCCCCTTAAGCAGAAAGGTAGCCAAGCGGACTCTATCCCCATCTGGGCACTCCAGCACCTCAAAAATCCGCTCCACATCCGAAATCCAACTCTCGGCCTCTGCTGGGTCTGGGCCACCCATGAACTCTTTGGCTCCAAGTTCCTTCACCCTTTTGATTTCAGAACTTTCTGTGCTACGCCTCCCCCGCAAGGCGGTAGTCATCGTGCGCGTAAATTGGCTCAACACCTGGCGCAAGTCCAAGGCATTATCTCCGACAGGTGGAGATGGTGGAGGAGATGGAACTGGTGGCGAAGGAGGTGGTGACGGAGATGGTGGTGGAGGATTTGGCCCCCATCTCTGACCACGACCTCGCGTTCTTGGTCGACGAGTCGACATGGTTCTACACAAAGAAACCATAAAATCATTCGATCAACAATGCAGCAAAAGCGCAAAAGTTGAAGGAAAATGAACCTAATGCTCTGATACCAAGCTGACAGGACCCGCCCCGGAATTTCTCCCCAAACCGGGGCGGACCCCGTATTGTTGCCGACATCTCACCGATGCCGGGCCCATTTACTAAAAACCCAAGACATCCTACCAAAATTTTGGCAGAGTCTCCCCTGTAAGATGCTCAAACCCAACAACATTCAACCTGCATAATTTACATAATATAAATCCCAACTGCCAGCATGCTTTCAACATACAACAATTCAAAGTAAAGTGGCCTCCGGCCTCAAGTAACAACCTAACATGGGCGATAACAGAGCATCTAACAGAATTTGTTTACAACAACAGTAGAGTAGAAGGAATTTACACGAGTCCTATCTACAGATGAAATGTTTGGAGCTCGCAAACTGCTCGAACGCTTCCAAAAGCCACTACTGCCTGGGGGGCGCAAAACGGAAATATGTGAGTGGACAAAAATAAAGTTTGCATTTAAAACAACATAGTAACCCCACCATGTAAAAATAATGCTCAAGCATGCAGTCTCCACATCCATAAATCAAATACTCAAACATAAAATCTCAAAGTCCAATAACTCTCAAAAATCTCAAACCACAACTCCATTCCCACAAGTATGCAACTCTCACCAACCCATACATATGTATACCTATATAAGTATATATATATATATCTATAATATAACGTATACTTCTCTCCATACTAATGTACCGGGGAAGACAATCCAACCGGGGGATTGTTGGCTGGTACGCAGGATTTTCGAACCAGAACCCGCGTCCAGGGATGAGTAGTCCAACCGGGGGACGGAACTCCATAGCTCACACGCCGGCACTGCCAACGCCACGTGTAGCTCACAAATCTCATATCAAGTCCTACGCGCGCAGACAGTATCATCCCCACACCGGCACTGCCAACGCCATGTGTGATGATACTAAGCAATATACATACTCTTCCCATACACCGGCACTGCCAACGCCATGTATGGGACCAGCAATCTCATGACCTTCCCACCACACCGGCACTGCCAACGCCATGTGTGGGAAGCCTAGTAACCAGGGAATGGTACTCACCTAACATACTCATACATCTCACAACCATCCCTCAAACTCATATCTTTCCACAATCTCATAACAACAACTCCTCATACTCCATACATAGCACAATCTCACAACATCAACTCCTCATACTCTATACATAGGCAATATAGACAGATATCCCAAAATCCATATAAACATATCCATAATACTCAAACATAGCCATACTCAAAATATATTGCCAATACGTATATGAATATCCAAAGTCATCAACCAAATACTTAATAAATCACATTTCCATTTAAAAACATATGCACAAATCTTTTATCAATAAAACCATGCAAATGCTTGAAAACAAAGTCCACTCACAGGTAATCCCACGCTGCCCGGCCCCGAGAGGGTCCTGCCTGCTGCAAACGATCGACCGAAGTACCTATTTCGAGATACGAACTCTTGATTAATATAATACCCTTCAAAACGGGAAATTCACAAAAGAGAATACTTAAATCCCCAAGATCCCGGTGCGTGTACGTCCAATAGGATATCCTTACAGGTTTGGGAATCGCTTCCCATCCTACGGTTATCGTTAATCCCACAAACTTTGAATTATTGAATCGGAACATCCGGGGCTCCGATTCACGATCCACGAATTCCTATAGGATTCTAAGAGTACCTAAATCAACATACTTCAATTTGGAAACGATCCAACGGTTAGAACTTATCGAACCCGAATAACGCACAATATGCGAAATCCGTTCGATAGTCAAACGACATCCAAATTGAGATCCGTAAAATCCTACGCACTCGTGACAACCTAATGATCTCATCAGGATGAAAAGCAACTTCAACAGCCTTGCCCACGCGCCGCCACACGCGCCGGCAGCGCGTGGGTGTGTAGAGAATTTCCGGCGACGGAAAATCTCCACACCAACGCTCACCCTTCCTACCCTAGCTTCTTCTCAAGGTCAGGATCACTTTATTCAACTACCACGAGGTCCAATTCGCACGGGAACTGGCCGGAATTTCAAATTGAAAACCGGCCAAAACCTAGGTTTCCAATTCGGTTCCAAAACTCAAAATCGATCCAAACCTACCCCAAAATCAGCTAGAGCACGTAAAAAGAAGAAGAAAACTCACCAACTTTACTTGAAACAGACGGCGGAGGCGGCGGCGCAACGATCGGAAACTTCCGGTTCGAACCAGTCGATACCGTCGACGATTCTCCGGCTTTCCGGCAAGGAAATTGGGTGGGTCTTGATCGGGACTTCACGACGAGTCCAACGGGACTGGTCTCGAGGGCTGAGGTGGACTGTGGCGGCGGCGGCACGGTGGTTTCCGTTCGGCTTGCACAGTGACGGGGAGAGGAAATCGACGCAGAGGGAGGAGACGCGGGAGAGAGAGAGAGAGAAAGTGAGGGGTAAATGTGAAAAATCTGATTTTACCCCAAACTTACTTCGAAATAATTACGGTTCTGCCACCGAACTTATTTTGATCGCCAAAACTTCGTTACAACTCCGATTCAAGCCTACCGCCTGTCTACGGTTTCGTCTCAGTACCACCTACGCAACCAAACCACTCGTGGTCCCGAAATCCTTCTGGATAAGAAAATGACCAAAATTACCCTTAACCCAAGAGTAAATTAATAATTCTCTTAATTTAATTAAAATAGGAATAAATTTGGAGTCGGGGTGTTACATTGTGACTTCGAGTTTACCAGTAAATTTATTGGACAGCAAACATAGGAACCTAGAGCCGATTGCCAAGTGGAAAACTTTGGAGGTGTTATCATTGGGTTCATGCTTAAATTTGGCGAAAATACTTGCAATTATACAAACACATTGCAAGAATTTTTATGGGCTGAGGCATTATCAATTGTGAAGTTGGTGCCCAAAAATGATATGACAGAATTGTATATTTAAAACGTATGTACTTTCTAAATACATTTGGATATTTTAAAAGTATAGCCTAAATATTAATACATTCAAATATTTTAAGAGTATAGCCGGGCGGCCATACCCTTTAAATATATTCGAAACGAACACGAAGGTTGCAGTAGCAGATGACGGAGCTTGCAGAAGCCATTTCGCTTCTCTGTCAACCCAAGTTTCGATTTGTTTTCTTCGGTTTCGGCTGCTTCGTCCTCCTTGTTCGGCCCCGAAAAATGACCCAACCCGCCTTGGAGGCCCGGCCAGCCGCCTAGCGCCCGCCTAGCCGCCTAGCCGCCTAGCCGCCCGCCTAGGCCGATTTTTCGAAAACAGAGATTGACTGAAAGTCTGAGAACCGAAATTGAAAAAGTTTAGCTGCAAATTTAAGCTTGAGATTGAGATTGGGAAGCCGAAGCAAGCACAAGTCAGGTCCATAGAAGAAGAGATCATTAGACTCTTAATTCATCTGATTCCATTTGCTGACTTGGTGTCTGTCTTCAGTGGAAGGAAATGATGAAGCTATCCTATCATGGAGTTTCTGCGGTCTTGCCAATAACAAGGTTCGGTTTTTAGGCCCCAATCTCAAATTCTGACTATTTATTTCTGGTTTGGTTAAGCAATAGATAAATCTTTATGCATTCTGTATTCATCCATTGATGGTTCTTCCTGTAGGTTAGTATCATATACTTGTGAAAGGGTGGTGACTACATGTTTATATGAAAAAAATAAAAAAATAAAAAAATAAATCATGGTGAATCATTGAGTGGCCTCATCCCTTTTTGGGTGCCTTGTGTTTTTAATCCCAAGTGGAGTGAAAAAGCCAAAAAGTTCCTCAAAGAGGCCTTGGTATGGGGTAGCCTCCCCGCTCCCTAAACACATGCTAGTTCTTTCACTTCATACACTGCAAGGTGAGTCTTGTTTATGGCAAGGGGGTGCAGCTCGTTCTGGTGAATTTGGATGTAAGTATCTGACAACGATCTCAACTCCTTCCCATCTGGAATCTGCAACAATTTGCTTCTCTATTTTTCCCACCCAGCAGCACCCACACAAAAATCTGCAGGGCCGAAACGACATCGATCGTTAAATAACAGAAGTCACATTAGAGTAGACGCCTTGTCTGAAAGTAATATTGTAGTTTCCAATATGCATCAGCACCAGAATAAACTAGTACATTCAGAGTGTTTGAGAAGGCAAGGGTGACTCTTTTGGTGTGACCCTCAAGCTTCCTTGTAACCTGCAAAATATATAAATGAAGAAAATGCCCAACTTTTCGGGTTTGCTTCATCACAACGTCTTTTTTTTTTTACAAGAACAAACAAACTACCTCGTCTGAGTGGAGATTGTATATTACAATGGTGGAATTGTTCATGCCAATAGCAACTATACTGTCATCTCAGGGGTGAAAAGCAAGACATGTTGCCGCAGGTGGCGGTGGCATGACTTTCTTCATCGTTGGCGTTTTTACGCAACAGATTTTGATGAGTACAATGAGTTAGATCATGAGAAATTTGCAAACAGAACCTAAGCATATTGACAAACAAGATTTGGGAAGTTTTGGCTGGTAAAAGAAAATTTCAAGAATACTATTTGTGTTGGGTTTACCTTAAATGTTGTCATGTCAAAAACGGAGAGCATCCCTCCTGTTGCTGACATGAGATATGAATCATTCTTGGACAAATCAAAGCAGGACATAGAGTCTTCAGGGTTGGTGCTGGGAAGGTCATTGTTCATCAGCTCTAACCTCCTTGGTTTCCATAAATTAGGGTGAACCTTGGCAGTTGCCTACATTCAATCAATATCATCATAATCAAACGACCAACTGTCGCTCCGATTTCAATTTCGAAAGGAAAGAGAGGAGAAATCTAATAGGAAAGAATTATAAACCATGTCATTATTTACCACTCAACTAGAATTAAGGTCCCTGTGGCCATTTCCAGAGAAAATGAATGCCATTTGATGCTAACACCAAAATAGCATCACCTTCAGAGAAAATAAATAGTATAGCCGTTCGGCTATACTGTTTATTTATAAAATAATAATAATATAAATAATATTAAAAAATGAAAAAAAAACCCGCCTAGCCCTCCTAGGCGGCCGATTTTTCAAAAACTTGAATGGCGTTTTTTTTTTCTGATTTCTTTTTTCCTGGCGGGTCTGGCATCTCTGCAAATACATTTTTGTCAATTCTCCGTAATGTAATCTGGGTGAAATGCAGCTTTTGGATCCATAGGATGGGCAAAAAGAGTAAATCAAAAACTCCCAGAGAGATGCAAGATAATACAGCTGCTGTAGATGAGGAAGAACCCCCATCTTCGGCCAATAAATTGCTGAATCATTGGTTGCGATTCAGTTCAGGTTTACCATGCATATATTTTGGTTTTAATTTATGTTTCAATTACTAGGCATATGAAGCCTCATCTGATCCTACTTTCTGCAACAGGAACACTTGGAGAGCAATGAGGGTGATCCTGAGCTACTTGTTTACACTCCGTGAGTATCCACTTTTGTTGTTTTATGTGTTATCTTCACGACAGGAGTTAAAGAATGCATGAACATGAAATGGATGGGGACAGGGAGATCCATTGGTTGAGTACTTACCCATTTTTCCATATTTTCATTCAATTTCAATGCTAACATGTCTTGTTAGATCTCCATAGTCCGATCTGTATCAGTTTGAGTATGGGATTCAACCTTAGTAGCATCTCCAGGTTCACCTAAAACAAATATAACACTTGATTTGTGTGTCATTTATAATTATCTTTTGTTCTTGTGCTCATCTGCTATATCTGATGTTAAACATAGCTGCACTTATTTCTGAAATACTTGTGATGCATCTTGAGAAATTTTATTAAAGCCTACCATTCTAAGACCAAGTTATCGCTGATGTCGTTACTTTATCAATAGCATTTCAATTATTGGTGGTGCTGATGGATCAAGTCCTTCCAAGATGAGGGCGTAAGTTCGAACTTTAATATTTTCTTTTAGCTCCTTCATTTTAGGACCTACCTGATTGGAACAATGAGATTGTCTGTGTTCATGAGTTTATTTCAGTGGCATAGTTCTTGAAGAAGGTATGCATTCATCTGTGAAAGACATGTAGAGAAGCATTTTGTATTTGATACAGCACATAGGATTTTAGGACATGGCATGCTTTTGCTTATGCTTTCAAATTTTCTTTGTGTTTATTTTTTAAAGCAATCTGTATTCTGTGTGTTGATTGTAGTTGTGGTGCTTGAAGAAACATAGCCCATATTCAGGGACTATGTTACATGCATTCTCTGTATAAATATTTGGTTCTAGTCAGAGGATGGATGATTCTGGTTTAAGCTAAGGGTATTCTAATAATTTGTTTTCTCCTGTGTGCAGTCTTGCAAACGTTGATCCTATTGATGTTGCCAGAAGTATTGCAAGGTTAAACCCAGAAACTACCCTCAGTAAGTATTAAGTTTATTTATATCACTACATATTGACTTTTGTAATCTAAGCTCTGTGGGGTTTCTTATCGTTCATTCATATTCTTTTGATATTTGCAGTTGTGGTAGTTTTCGAAAACCTTTACAACAGCTGAAACTATGTTGAATGCTCGAACCCTTAGGGAATGGATTTCATCTTCTCTTGGGTTAGTGCAGTGCCAACACTTCTTCAAGTATATGAACAGGTTGTTTCAGTTTAGGATTTGCTTAATAATCTTTGGGTTAATTTAAACAAACGTGAATGAGCTTGGGAGTGGGTGGAATGAATCATATTTGGAATAGCATAGTAATTTTATAATTGAATAATTTAGTAATCAAGATGGTATGATGGAGTGAAGGTTTATTATGTCTTTGTAGTTAAACATTGATTTTGTCAGATAAAATATAAGTTTTAAAAATTCTATTTAGAGAGTATAGCCGACCGGCTATACATTTAAAAATTTCCATTTATATATTATAGCCGATCGGCTATACTATTGAAATATTCTTGAATACCCCTATACTGTTGAAATATTCTATTTGCAGCGTATAGCCGGGCGGCCATACGTTCGAAATTTCTATTTACAGGATATAGCCGGGCGGCTATACTTGTGAAAATTATATTTAGGGAGTATAGCCCGGTGGGTATACTGTTGAAAATTTCTATTTATAAACTATCGCCGCGCACACTGTTGAAATATTCTATACTTTAAAGATATTTCCACATTGCGCCAACAAAAAAAATATAAATTTTTATTTTTCCGGATTAGACCTCTCCCAACAAAATTTCTTCATAAGAGGTTTCTTTTTAATAGAAATAATATACTTAGTATCTTTAGGTCAATATATATATATATATATATATATTTTCAACTTTCTTTTTATTAATTAAATCATATCTTAGCCTTATTTAATTACTTTCATTAATAATCATGTTTTAATTATTATTTCTTTAGTGAATAATTAGAACTGATTATTTTAATTTACTTTACAAATTATCTTGGATAAAATATTTAAATACTAATTATTCACTAGGTAAATATTAATTAAAACATAACTAATAATTAAAGTAAATAAAAAGGAGAAAAAGCACATTATGATACTTATCGGTATAGCCGCGCGGCTATACGTTTGAAATTTTTTATTTATAGGGTATATCCGCACTATATGGATGAAAATTTCTATTTATATAGTACAGCCGTGCAGCTTTACGATTGAAATATTCTATTCGTAATATATAGCCGCGCTGCTATACTTTTGAATTATTCTATGCTTTAAAGATATTTCCACATTGCACCAACCATACAAATATGAATTTATATTTGCCGGATTAGACCTCTCCCGACGAAATTTCGTCGGAAGAGGTTTCTTGTAAAACAGGAGCTTAGCTCTTATAAAACCTACGAGGGGGTGAAGTAGGCTATATGATAAAAGCTCACCAATTTAAAAATTACTTAGTGACAAATGACATTCAACACAAATACTGCTTGTGGTGATCAAGTAACCAAGGTAAATGCAATAATGTAAATGACACAGTATTTGTTAACCCAGAAACCCATAAGGGAAAAATTGGGGGACCAAGCCAGGAAAAGATTCAATCCACTCAATTGTAAAGTACAAGAAATATAGGGATATTAGCTCAACTACACACAATAGGCAGCTAACTATCTAACCTTCTAGCAAAGCACCATTTCTTTACTTCACAGCAACAGATTCTTTTCTCGACCTCGCAACAGCACCAAGCATAAGTTGCTCCCGATATGATGTTATGAAGTGAGTTGTGGTTTCATAAAATTCATCTATCTCAATCATACAAATGATTGAACTAGATAAAAGAAATCGTGTACAGTTATGAATTAAAACCAAAAGATGTTTGAGATAGGGAATCACCCTTTCTTGGTGAGGTTTTGCAATAAGAAGGATAAGTTACCGGATATGGAACCTTGGACTTTTCGTTATGGTTCGGTGGTTTTGGTTGATGCGCATGAAGGACTTGATCCCAGAGAGGTGGAATTCCATCACAGTACATATTGGATCCAATTGCATGGCATCCTTCCTTTTAATATGACTACAATGGTGGCACAGAAAATTGGATCTCTTGTAGGGAAGGTGATAGGCTTTTTAGTACCTGCGCAAACAGGGTTAAAACTCCTACAAAACTTGCAAGAATGACAAGGTTATTGTAGTATAAATGATTCTCGCAAGGTTGTTCTCCGCAGGGATTATTAAATAACTCGTAGCAACCAAATTCTAATTAATTATTGCAAAAGAGAAAGTTGAGATGTTTGATTTGAAGACCTTAAATTAAAAGGAATTTAACTAATAAAAATAAGGCAATATGCAAAATTAAAGCTAAGAGCAAGAGAAACAGTTGTGTTTTTAGAAATCAAATTAAGAAAGCACTAGGGATCCGCCGTCACCTTAACAATTCTATATAGTTCCCCCAATTACTTATGACCTATACATGCATATTTCGAAGGTTAGGTATTCCTAATATGCCTACTTGGACCCCCAACATAGAGCGTATATCACACATGCAATCCGTCTGTGGTATTCAGATCAAATCTAAACATACATGACTCATTAAGTTCTGTGAAACCTTTTGAAAAACCATGCAACCCTTAAGACGTGGTATTCATCCTAAGTGAACTTGCACATATTAATCACAAGAAGCCTTCGTCAATTTCAGGGACCGACCTCCGACCAAAACTGCATCAAATTACTTTTCTAAACATCCTAATGGTGATCAAGCATCAAGACACTTAGATAGTTTAACCCAGTGATGAATAATTCGAAAACCTACATGCATATAATCATAAGCAAATTGGACAGAAACTACATATTCTTGCTAAGGCTCGTGGCCTCACCCTAGAAAAAGAGAGTTAGTTACGCATGTTCACAATTGAAATCCAAGAAAATATCATTAAGAAGAATAAGAATGAAAACACCTGAAAGTCGCGAAAATCCAAAACCCTAGCAATTGCTCCAAAAGCCAAAAAGAAGTAAAAAGGGAGTCCCATAAATTCTGTGAAAAGGAGCTTAAATACCTCCTAAAACCTAGCTACCCAATCCCCACAAGGAAACTAAGTTAAAGTAAAATAATACTAGGAAATAAAGTCCAAATTGGATTAGGAGAATCTGCCCATAATCTGCCCAACCACGTTTTAGTCTCAAATCTCCCCCAAATCTGGCCCAAGATAGCTCGTTTTAAAGATACAAATATTCCGAACACTTCTCCAGAAGGCCACGAACCCATCCGAGGTCATCTTGGGCTCCAAAAACGCAATAAAAGCCCAAAACGTCACTGTTCCAGCACGGCGCACTGTTCCTTTATTTATTCGCCAGGAAATCATCGCTTGGTGGAAAAGTCTGAAATTCTGACACGATCAAGCTAAGTGACTCACGAACGTCCTCCAACTGGAATTACTCCAAAATTCGTCCATTTGATTATGTTTTGCTCCAGAGGGAGTCGAAAGTCCTATATTGGAAATATAATTTAAAGTATCAAAATTCTTCCAAAATATTAACCAAAATATACTAAGAATGCGGTTAAATATATAGTATAAAATTGACTCATCAGAAGGTTTTGGAGGTTGATCAGGCTGATGGTGTGGAATGTATGGGACGCTTCTTACAAGTTCGTACTCAATTAGACGTGGATCAACCTTTGATACGAGGTGCTTTTGTCCAATTTCCGGATGATGGAGCTAAGTGGGTGAATTTTCAGTATGAATTTCTACCAGAGTATTGTTTTGTCTGTGGGCATTTGGGACATCCAAGCCGTATCTATATTGAAAAATTAGAGGCTGATCAAGACCTCACAGAGAGCAAGGTGGAGGTTTTGCACAATTTTTCCGGGCTTGAGGCGGTGGAGGATTTGAGTGGCTGGCGATTACGCTTTGGGGAACGTAATGTTTCACAGGGGAATAATAGTACAAGCTCAGGGGGTAGATGGCGTCATGAGCGCTCTAGTCGCTTGGGAGAGCCTCGACATCTGCAACAGGTAGGGTGCTGGCGGGATGTGGGTGGTGCATATATGTCTAGAGGGTGGAGATGGAAGACACTGCTACCTTCCCTAACAAATAGGCTTCTCATTCGCATTCTTTAACGGAGAGCATACGTCTCTGACGAGAAGAACAAGAGCGTGAACGACGTATACGAGAAGAAGCCTGGGAAGTAGGTCTGTTAGGGCCACATGGAAGGAATGCGGGGCCTACACAGGGGGATTCTTCTACAAATCAGTATATGCAAGAGGAGGAGGGTGGGGATCCCTCAGACAGGGTACGGGTATCTGAGGAGGATGGGAACCTGATTGACTTAAATTTTGGTGTTACTCAGTTCGAAAAAGTACCATAGGATGATGGTTTGTCTGCACAGGGGCAGGGGTTGAGAATTGGTTTGGGTCTGTTAACTCAAAGCTCGGACTCTTTTAATCTTGGGCTGATAATTGAGGGGACGATGCAACGTCACGAGTACAGAAAGACGAACAGAGGTGGTGAAGACAATGATGGTTGTCCGGGAGAGGAGAGAATCCCGCCAACTCTTGAGCTGTGTTCTCTGACATATGGGGGAGGGGGAAAGAAGGCTCGAAGACATCAAATGTTAACAGTTGATCTGCTGCAAGAGGCATAAACCTACGCAGACCGGTCTGGGCGAGAGTTATGAGGATCCTCATATAGAATTGTCAGGGTATTGGGGGTAATCTGACAGTTTCTAGCCTTATGGAGAAAGTAAAGCTCCACACTCCCGACATGGTGATGCTGCTAGAAACTAAAACTAGGAGTAGTCGCTATGTTTTTCTAAAGAAGGTACTGGGAATGCCATTTATGCATGCGATGGAGGTACATGGCTTAAGTGGGGGTCTATGTGTTTTTTGGAAGGAAGTTCAACATGTGTCTCTTGTTAAATATGCAGATTTTATTTTATTTTATTGAGGTTGGGATTAAGGATGTTGAGAAGGGGTGTGTTTGGAGATTTTTTGGTGTATATGCTAGTACAGATGACCGAATCAGGAGGAACCAATGGCAGGCTTTACGAACTCGAATTCTTACATGTCAGGAGGCTGTTATGGTAATGGAGGATTTTAATGATTTTTTAGATAGAGCCGAGAAGCAAGGAGGAAACTCTCGGTCTGAAAGGAGTATGTTGGATTTCCGTCATTTGTGACGGATTTGTCTGATTTAGGTTTTGTTGGATATCCATTTACTTGGCGTAATAGACGACAAGAGGAAGGAATACAAGAACGGCTGGACAGGGGGTTTGCCGATGATAATTGGCTACGATTTTAGCCCACCGCAAAAAATTTCCATTGGGTGGTTGAAGGGTCTTATCATGTTATGTTTTGTCTCGATACACATGAGACCAAGAGGAGGAAGAAAGGGCATTTTGCATATGATCCGCGATGGGGGAGGCATGAGGTTGTAGGGCAGTGGTGTTTGAGCGTTGGGTAAGGCGAGGGTGCAGTCTGGGTAACCATCAGATGTCATGCAGAAATTAACTTGGGTTAGGAGAGGTTTGCTGGATTGGAAGCGACGAGAGTGGAAAAATTCGCAGTTGTGCATTGATGAGTTAAGGCTTGAGCTTCGAGCGGAATATCAAAATGATATTTTCGATTATGGGAAAGTCAAGGAATTGGAGTTTAAGTTGCAGAAGGCATTAGTGGGAAAAGTCAAGGAATTGGAGTTTAAGTTTAAGATTTCTCATATATTTCGTGAGGGTAATCATAGAGTTGACGCTTTGGCAAATCACGGTGTTCAGGGCTCTGGTTTCACATGGTAGGACACTGCACCTTCATTTATTTTATCTTCGTCATTGGGACTAGCTGGGCATGCCCAATTACCGTCTTACCTAGTCTTTTTTTGTTTACTCTTTCAGAGTTTTGGCTTCTTGGGTCCGCATGTTGATGCGACTTTATGTCACTGTCTTTCTTTCTGCAATTTGGCCCCTGCTGTTCTTTTTTTCTTTATATGTTTCTTTTATATTAATAAAATTATGATCAAGGGGATGGGCGGGGGGTCCCCAGAATGCCTTGGTATCTTCTTTGAGGGTTGTGGATGTTTGTGCATTCAATGACCGATACTGAAGAGCTAATCTTGCCTAATCTCTTGTTCTATTTATTAATAAATAAATAAAGAATACTACCACCTCTTACTACTATACTCATACATCTTTGTTTGAAATTGTTGTTTTGGTTGGCAAAGAGATTTCGAAAGTTCACCATCCTGCATTTTTGTTACAACAAGAAATAATCTTTGCCTCTCACATTCTTTCATAGATGGTAAAATACGGAACGGGAAAAATACATACTTGATTTATCCGGAAAAATTTTAGCAAGTTACAACTGAAAAATTCGGCCACTATATAACATTTTAATATTTTAATATTTAATATTTTATTCAATAATATGTGAAAATTTTGTGTATTATTGAAAATTTTGTAAAAAAACACGTGTATTAAACATGAATAATATATATGTATGTGTATTGTATGTTTGCTTTTTTAAAAATATGTATTTTACCGAGTCTTTAAGAGTGTACGGAAAAACGAAAGTATTATTGAAAAATACGTACTTACTTGTATAATACAAGTATTAAATGGAAAAATGCTAAATTATTTACATGAGTAATAAGTAAAAAATCAAAAGGGGATAATAGAGACTTGGGTAATGGCCTAATAGTAATGGATAATGCTCTAAACTACTCTAACCGATAAAGGAAAATCAGGGAATTTTTTTTTCCTTAAGGGCGTATAGCCGATCGGCTATACTGTCTATTAAAATAAAATTAAAAAAAGAACCCGCCTAGCCCGCCCATTTTTCCAAAACTTGAATGGCGTGTTTTTTTTTTCAGATTTCTTTTTCCTGGCGGGTCTGGCATCTCTGCAAATACTCAGAAATGGAGATCATCCCTCCTGTTGGTGATATGAGATATGAATCATTCTTGGACAAATCAAAGTACGACATAGCCTCTTCTTCAGGGTTGGTGCTGGGAAGGTCATTGTTCATCAGCTCGGAGCCACTCCTTGGTTTCCATAAATTAGGGTGAACCATTTGAGTTAATGGCATTCAATCAATATCATCAGAATCAAATGACCAATTATCGCTTCGGTTTCAATTTTGAAAGGAAAGAGAGGAGAAATCTAAGTTACAAGCAGCAAGATTTACTTTTTTTTTCTCCTCTGTTTTTTAGATGGCATGTATGTTTGGTGACTTAATGCATTATGTTGTTTGTTTCTTATGGTTTTGGCAGTGTTAGTTATTCGTATAGAATGCAGGCTCAGAGTTAGAGTTTATAAGAAATTATGATTCTTTGCTGTGTTAATAAAATATTAAGCATCTTTATTCATAATTTTGTCTTCTGGCAATATAGGTTTTTCTTAATTGAAAATAGGACCCTCTGTAGTTGAGGTGTTGGTAGTCTGTTTATGTGACTTCTGATCTCATGAGTTTGATAAGAGTAGAAATTGCCCTGCTTTACTAATGCCGGTTACGAGAAGTTAATCCCCTATAGACCAAAGAAATAGTATTTGAGGTTTAGCAAGATTTAATTTTGAATCTGGTTATTTCTGCTAAATCCTTAGATTGGCTTTTCAATGCAATTAGTCGTATGGCATGCAGTTCATATTCAAATGACATAGGTATTTTATACAAGTATATACGTTTGGAATTATATGAACTTGTCTACAAAACAAATATTTGAAGCAGAATTTGGGATCCTTTTGGATAAACTTTGAGTTAAAACTGGGGGGATTAATGTGATATGATGATGAACCGAAATCAGTAATGGAATTTTAATACTGACCTGATCTGTAAAGAGCCCCTTGTCTTTTGCTGATTTAATTTACTTTTTGCCTTGCTTTGCATGCCAAATTATTTTATATTTACATCTGATATGCAAGTTAATCACATGATGTTTGCATTTTGCAGCTTCAGCAGTAGCACCTTTCTACAAGGAGAAAAAGAAAAGGGAAAACTAAGGTTTTTTTTTTTTTTTTTTTATTTTTTTTTTAAAAAAAAAATAAATAAATAAATATTTTTTTTTATAAATAAAAAAAAAAAAAAAAAAAAAAAAAAAAAAAAAAAGAAAAAAAATGGAGACCAAAAATCCCCCTATTTTTGTCCTTTTTTTGGGGGAATTTTGCAAAAAAAAAAAAAAAAAAAAAAAAAAAAAAAAAAAAAAAAAAAAAAAAAAAAAAAAAAAAAAAAAAAAAAAAAAAAAAAAAAAAAAAAAAAAAAAAAAAAAAAAAAAAAAAAAAAAAAAAAAAAAAAAAAAATGATTACGTTGATGGTACATTTTCTCTATGCAAAGGAGAATTTTGCAGGGCTTACAAAAACACCACAGCACAATGATGTGCCATGCTCAGTTTTGTTTTGGCGAGGATGGTAGAGTGCCCATTTGAAAAGTTTGACACAACACAGGTTCCTTATGCAACAACACATATAAAAGTGAATCAGGAGATGATTGCAGGTCAAAGCCAAAAAGGTGGCAGGCCTCTCGTCTCTGTTTTACATTTATGATGTCACAACTACTGGAAGGTCCTTCCTTAAGGAAAACCTCCTAGAGATAGTGTGACCACTTGAAGAATACTTAGCTTGCAGAATTTTCAAAAAGAACCTTATCTTTCTTGAAATCAATTGTAAAATATGCAGGCTCTTTTTGAGCATTTGCAATGCAAGGCAAAGTAAAAATTGATACACAATTTGCATAGGTTAGTATCATATACTTGCGAAGGGGTGGTGACTACATCTTTATATGAATATATATATATATATATATATCATGGTGAATCATTGGGTGGCCTGATCCCTTTTTGGGTGCCTTGTGTTTTTAATCCCAAAGTGAAGAGTTAAAAAGCCAAATAGTTCCTCAAAGAGGCCTTGGTATGGGGTAGCCTCCCCTCTCCCTAAACACATGCTAGTTCTTTCACTTCATACACTGCAAGGTGAGTCTTGTTTATGGCAAGGAGGTGCAGCTCATTCTGGTGAATTTGGATGTAAGTATCTGACAATGATCTCAACTCCTTCCCATTTGGAATCTGCAACAATTTGCTTCTCTGTTTTTCCCACCCAGCAGCACCCCACACAAAAATCTGCAGGGCCAAAATGACATCGATTGGTGGAATGTGTGCAGGTGTTCTGGCCCTGTGACTTCGAGTTTACCAGTAAATTTATTGGACAGCAAACACACAAACCCAGAGCTGATTGGCAAGTGGAAAAATTTGGAGGTGTTATCATTGGGTTCATGCTTAAATTTGGCGAAAATACTTGCAATTATACAAACACATTGCAAGAATTTTTATGGTTTAGATTTGTCCAAAGGCTCTGTTCATGGGCGTGAGGCATTGTCAATTGTGAAGTTGGTGCCCAAAAATGATATGACAAATTTGTATATTTAAAACATATAGCCGCACGGCTTTACTTTCTAAATACATTTGGATATTTAAAGGTATAGCCGAGCGGCTATACTCTTTAAATATTTTCGAGAAAAACACGAAGCTTGCACTAGCAGACGACGGAGCTTGCAGAAGCCATTTCGCTTCTCTATCAACTCGAGCTTCGATTTGTTTTCTTCGGTTTCGGCTGCTTCGTCCTCCTTGTTCGCCCCGAAAAAAGACCCAACCCGCCGGCCCAGCCGCCTAGCGCCCGCCTAGCCGCCTAGCGCCCGCCTAGCCGCCTAGCTTCCGCCTAGCCGCCTTGCCGCCCGCCTAGGCCGATTTTTCGAAAACAGAGATTGACTGAAAGTCTGAAACCCGAAATTGAAAAAGTTTAGCTGCAAATTTGAGCTTGAGATTGAGATTGGGAAGCCGAAGCAAGCACAAGTCAGATCATTAGACTCTTAATTCATCTAATTCCATTTGCTGACTTGGTGTCTGTCTTCAGATGAAGCTATCCTATCATGGAGTTTCTACGGTCTTGCCAACAACAAGGTTCGGTTTTTAGGCCCCAATCTCAAATTCTGACTATTTATTTCATCCATTGATGGTTAAGCAAAAGATTGATTGGTTTGGTTCTTCTTGCTTGAAACTTGATAAATCTTTATGCATTCAATATTCATCCATTGATGGTTCATGCACATCATCTAAAGGTCACCGTTCCAAAATTGCAGAATGACCGTTCCAAAGAGAAAGAAAAGGATACAGGAAGGAGCCAGCAACCAACTATCTGAAGGTCACCGTTCCAAAGAGAAAGAAAAGGATACAGGAAGGAGCCAGCAACTAACTATCTAAAGGTCACCGTTCCAAAGAGAAAGAAAAGGATACAGGAAGGAGCCAGCAACCAACTATCTAACTCCACCGTAGCGCGCTTCACCCTCCAGCTGCTACGTCAATGAAGAACCGAAGACTTTATAGTTTGAACAAGCTAAATATGCTTAGGTAGAAATTGACTCCCTATTTGGATGCTTATCGACTGTTATCAAACACAAGGGTCTGGATCCCGCTCTACCATACCTGGAGCGGTATATTGATAACATTTCACCATTCATATCGACGTACATATTATGCATATCAATTCTTTTTGGTTGGACTGCTTTTCATTCTTTGGATATCCAAATTTGAAAAAGCGGTGCAGGAGCAGTTGTTCATGCACATCATCTCACATTCCTTGAGGTTCATACTTGTGTTATACCAGGATTGTTCTGTACTTGGCAATTTCACCCCAGAGTACTTCTTAAAGATGTCTCCACTGCAATTCAGTTGGCTCTTTCTCACACAGCTATATGACCAATCCACCAAGTCCCAGTCTTGTTGAAAGGTCAGTATAAATCATGTGATTTTGTTCA